AACGATGTCTATTATTTCACATGCGCTTTGAACATGCCCATGCATCATGGAGTTAATCACCATATAAGTGGCCTTATTGTCATCCAGCAGCGTCCGTATGTCCCGATTCTTGTTAACGCGATATCTCATGGACAGTTGTACCCAATGTCTTCACATTTGGTGACAGTCTACACCTGGGGATTTCACAGACACCAGTTGATTTTGGTGACCTTGACCTTATTTTCAAGGTCACCACGACATTTTGACCACTTTTCAAACTCTTGTTAATGTGATATCTCATGAAGTGTTAATACCCGTGAAGGTCCGGGTTAGAATGTGCCTTCGGTAACCCATGCTTATCGTAAGAGGTGACTAACGGGATCGGGTGGTCAGGTTCGCTGACTTGGTTTACACATGTCATCGGTTCCCAATTGCACAGATCGATGCTCATGCTGTTTGATCACTGGATTGTCTGGTCCAGACTTGATTATTTACAGTCCGCCGCCATATAGCTGTAATATTGCTGAGTGCGGAGTAAAACTAAACTCACTCATGAACTGTTAAACGGTACTCAATGTCGTCAAATTTGGTGACAGCCTACATTAGGGGTTTCCGCAGACACCAGTCAATTTTGGTGACCTTGACCTTATCTTCAAGGTCACCACAACACTTTGACCACTTTTCAAACTCATGTTAACATGATATCTCATGGACTGTTGTACCCAATGTCTTCAAATTTGGTGACAGCCTACACTGGGGGATTACACAGACACCAGTTGATTTTGGTGACCTTGACCTTATCTTCAAGGTCACTACGGCACTTTGACCACTTTTCAAACTTATGTAAACGTGATATCTCATAAAACATTGCACACAATGTCTTCAATTATGTTGACAGCCTTCATTGGGTGATTATGCAGACACCAGTCATTTCTTGTATGTGACCAAAAAATATAAAGTAGTACATATGTTTTAAATATTTCATTCTTCTTTAGCAGCAGGGGACATTGCCATATTAGTGGCAAACACTTATTATTATTGTTATGATTAAAGTACCATGTGCCATGTAGCAGGTTAATGTGTAGGGCTGCGCAATATAACCGGTTTACCGGTATTTACCGGTTCAGACATGAAAACGATACATATTGCAATACGCTGATCGAAAGCCGGTATTTTGACTTGCATTCGGAAAACTTCTGTAACACTCGGAAATCTTCAGATATTTCCTTTTTTCATTTGTGCCAAATATTATTCACATTTTTATTTTTAATCATGAATAAAAGTTGTTATTAAAGCTTAAACAACATAGTGATTTTGCTGTGTATTTGCTCTATAAATCAAGCATTACCTCGATTATAAGTAGGTTTTGTTAAAAATACTTCATGCAATATATTGAAATACATATCACAATACATGCTTTCGCATCGCAATATATCGCAATATGAAAATTCTCTGCAATACCCACCCCTATTAATGTGGGTGCTGTGATTCAAAGCTGACAAGCCCTTGTTTTAAGCCCGTAATGCTGGGCAAGGTAACAACAAGTACTGTCTTCTAAGGTCTTGGTGTGATGTGCCTGGGGATTAGATAACAGACCTTCTGCTCTTTCTGTAACCACAAGAGCACTAAGCCAGTCTTTGAGTTTCTGGTCTTTCTGGTCCTACCCCACACTGACGAAGATGCAGTACATGAGGTGACCGGTGAAGATCAGGGTAGGAATTGGTCTTCAGCAACCCATGCTTGTTGTAAGAGGCGACTAACGGGATCGGGTGGTCAGGCTCGCTGACTTAGTTAACACATGTCATCTTATCCCAATTGCGTAGATTGATGCTCATAACTGGACTCGATTATTTACAGACCACCATCATATGGCTTGAGTATTGCTGAGTGCAGCAAATAAAATACCTTGCAGTGAATGGGTACCTCGTTACGTAGGTTGTGACGACAATGTGCAGTTGAACTTTCTAATGCTAATAGGTAATTTGTTATTTTTAAATTCGGTCAGCAAACAGAAACTACTTTCAATTTCCATTCACCGTTTCAATGTCTGCTGTTTAATAAATTAATTATGACACATGGGGTGATTAACTCCAACACTCTCAGTTACGAACCTAATCCCAAGACCCGTGACGATCCAGGTTAGAATTGGTCTTCAGTAACCCATGCTTGACATGAAAAGCAACTAACAGGATCGGGTAGTCAGTCTCGACTCGCTGCTTTGGTTAAAACATGTCATTGTATCTCATTTGTGTAGATTGATGCTTATGATGTCAATCTCTGGTGTGTTGGGTCCAGACTTGATTATTTACTTACGGCCACAATATAGCTGAAATATTGCTCAGTACAAATATACAGAACTGTATACGTAGTTTATGTAGTTACATCACTGACTGACTGACTGAGTTTAGTTTTACGCCGCTTTTAGCAATATTCCAGCAACATCACGGCGGGGGACACCAGAAATGGGCTTCACACATTGTACCCATGTGGGGATTCGAACCCGGGTCTTCGGCATGACGAGCCAACGCTTTAACCCCCAGTTACATCACTGAGGTGAGTTAGTTAGGACTTTAACAATGATCATAACAATGCTCATAAATCATAAGGAATATGAAAATATTTTGACATATATTCATAATTTATGATACTTCATACATAATTGGCTAATAATCTCTGTTTTTGAGCGACTACTTAAAGATTTTTGTTTCATGCCATGTTGTCAGAGATTGAAATCAGGAACAGCTGGACCAGGCTTGTTACTGCTGAATGCATCCTGTGAACTACTATAAATTAGAAAATAAATTACTTTTGACGTTTGTTGTTTGCCAAACACTACTTTCCAATTAGGTAAAATGACAAACATGGGAGATTGAAATGATTAATAATATAGTTCAACGTATGGTATGGATTTACAACTTCTGTATTGTTATGGTAAAGTCCATACCATACGTTGTTATGTTACCTTCCAACTTCTAAATGCCCATCAAGCATCTGATGATCGATATTTATAGAATATAATTATTCCAACAAATAATACCTTTAGCGATATTCACTTGAGTATGTAGAAAATAGGATCTTCTGGTACAATTGGTCACATTCAATGTCAAACAATTAACACCCCAGTATTTCATAAGACAAATAGCAATGGAGTTAACTGTATTGTAATATAATTCTGTTTACTAATGGGGTGTTGGGGTAGCCTAGTGGCTAAAGCGTTCGCTCTTCATGCCGAAGACCTGGGTTCGATTCCCCACATGGGTAAAATGTGTGAAGCCCATTTCTGGTGCCCCCCGCCGTGATATTGCTGGAATATTGCTAAAACGTCGGTAAAACCAAACTCACTCACTCACTCTATTTACCAGTGCATAGTATTACATCGTTCTAGAACAGCAAACCCAGATTTTAGATGGTTGTAATGCATCTGTTAACATACGTAATGCTCAGGAGTAGTGTATGTTATATCTGACCTATTTCTGAAAGGCATTATAGTGTATTTATACCTTTCTGCCATAATAATTGTGACGTACACTTGTCAGATGTGTGTACTCAAATAGATATTCTAGACTACCAGTTGTCAGACCGGAATGTAACATTCATTATGTTTAATGGAGGTCAGAATGTTTGAAATCCAGCATCAGACAGTTGTGTGTTTGATCTCAGACCTGAAGGTCCATGGTCCAGCTGATGAAAGTATTATGTCTTTGGTCATCGGGAGAAGGTGTCCGAGCTCAGATCAGAAGGTCCATGGTCCAGATTGCTCACAGTATTATGACTTTGGTCATGTCGAGAAGGTGTCTGATTTGGGATCAGAAGGTCCGTGGTCCAGCTTGCTGACAGTGTTTTGTCTTTTGTCATGTGGAGAAGGTGTCTGACCACAGATCAGAAGGTCCATGGTCCAGCTTGCTGACAGTGTTTTGTCTTTTGTCATGTGGAGAAGGTGGTTGACCTCGGATCAGAAGGTCCATGGTCCAGCTTGCTGACAGTGTTATGTCTTTTGTCATGTGGAGAAGGTGTCCGACCTCGGATCAGAAGGTCCATGGTCCAGCTTGCTCACAGTATTATGACTTTGGTCATGTTGAGAAGGTGGTTGACCTCGAATCAGAAGGTCCATGGTCCAGTTTGCTGACAGTGTGATGTCTTTTGTCATGTGGAGAAGGTGTCCGACCTCAGATCAGAAGGTCCATGGTTCAGCTTGCTCACAGTATTATGACTTTGGTCATGTCGAGAAGGTGTCTGATTTGGGATCAGAAGGTCCGTGGTCCAGCTTGCTGACAGTGTTTTGTCTTTTGTCATGTGGAGAAGGTGTCCGACCTCGGATCAGAAGGTCCATGGTCCAGCTTGCTCACAGTATTATGACTTTGGTCATGTCGAGAAGGTGTCTGATTTGGGATCAGAAGGTTCGTGGTCCAGCTTGCTGACAGTGTTATGTCTTTTGTCATGTGGAGAAGGTGTCCGACCTCGGATCAGAAGGTCCATGGTCCAGCTTGCTGACAGTGTGACGTGTTTTGTCATGTGGAGAAGGTGTCCGACCTCAGATCAGAAGGTCCATGGTCCAGCTTGCTGACAGTGTGACGTGTTTTGTCATGTGGAGAAGGTGGTTGACCTCGGATCCGAAGGTCCATGGTCCAGCTTGCTGACAGTGTTCATGTAGGGAAGGCATCCGACCTCGGATCAGAAGGTCCATGGTCCAGCTGCCGGACACTGTGACATCTTTGGTCATGTGGAGTCTGAAGGTGCCCGACCTCAGATCAGAAGGTCCATTCTTCCAATCCCAGCACATTACCCAGAAATGTTATGGCCATTTAAGCAACAGTACACACTCTCGGGGTATATTGATAAACAAATCATGATACCGCTTTGTAACCATGTGAGTAGTCTAACACAAGCTCTTGATAGTTATTTTAGTAACGCTGTCAATATTATCAGACAGACATGTGTTGAATATGGTTCAACAACTGTTTGCTTGAGGTCGGTATTTATTTGGCCATGAATAACAACTTCCCATTTGCTTTATGTACCAGATAACCTCGGCTGCCTTCACACAAGTGACACAGATATGGGATAACATCGTGCGAATACTGACTCGAAGTTTGAATGGCGAAGGTACCTCCTCTCCACATACTGGTCGTGGTGTGGGGCTTCTTAGAAATCTTGCTATTTGGAGGTATGATCTTTATATGAGACTGTAGACAGTCATCAGGTTTTGTGTGTGTCAATCTTTGATATGGCTGACTCACCGTGTAAGAACTCACCACTTATCTTAACCTCACACATCTGTATTGTGTGTTAGTGTGGTAACCTGCATCCTGATCTGATACTGTGAGCTGAGGTCGTCATAATGAGGGCTGGCTCATAGTCCTATCTATTTACTGTCTGAAGAGTGTTTGATAATTTCTGAATGCACGTAGAGAAATTGGAGTAGTTTTTGCCCCAGGCTGGTTTATGGATGTCCTGAGTTTGGGACCTCATGCTAAGTTTATCTGTCATATTGTCCTGTGTGTTGACCTCAGGGTTGGTATATATATATATGTCATATTGTCCTGTATGTTGACTTCAGGTTAAGTATGTATGTGATATTGTCCTGTGTGTTGACCTCAGGTTATGTATATAGATATTGTCCTGTATGTTGACCTCAGGGTTGGTATATATATCATATTGTCCAGTGTGTTGACCTCAGGGGAGGTATATATGTCATATTGTCCTGTATGTTGACCTCAGGGAGGTATATATGTAATATTGTCCTGTATGTTGCCCTCAGGGTTGATATATATGTCAGATTGTCCTGTATGTTGACTTCAGGTTAAGTATGTATGTGCTATTGTCCTGTGTGTTGACCTCAGGTTAAGTATATAGTTATTGTCCAGTATGTTGACCTCAGGGTTGGTATAGATGTCATATTGTCCAGTGTGTTGACCTCAGGGGAGGTATATATGTCATATTGTCCAGTGTGTTGACCTCAGGGGAGGTATATATGTAATATTGTCCAGTGTGTTGACCTCAGGGTTGGTATATATGTGATATTGTCATGTATGTTGACCTCAGGGTTGGTATATATGTAATATTGTCCTGTATGTTGACCTCAGGGGAGGTATAGATGTGATATTGTCATGTATGTTCACCTCAGAGTTGGTAGGTATGTAATATATTGTCATTGTCCTGTATGTTGACCTCAGGGTTGGAGGTATAGATGTCATATTGTCCAGTGTGTTGACCTCAGGGAGGTATATATATCATGTCAGTGTGTTGATATGTCATATTTCCTGTATGTTGACCTCAGGGAGGTATATATGTGATATTGTATGTTGACCTCAGGGTTGGTATATATATTGTCCTGTATGTTGACCTCAGGGAGGTATATATGTAATATTGTCCTGTATGTTGACCTCAGGGTTGGATTGTCCTGTATGTTATAGTATGTATGTGATATTGTCCTGTATGTTGACCTCAGGGAGGTATAGATGTGATATTGTCCTGTATGTTGACCTCAGGGGGAGTATATAGATGTGATATTGTCCAGTGTGTTGACCTCAGGGGAGGTATATATGTCATATTGTCCAGTGTTTAGACTTTAGGGGAGGTATAGATGTAATATTGTCCTGTATGTTGACCTCAGGGGAGGTATATATGTAATATTGTCCTGTATGTTCACCTCAGAGTTGGTAGGTATGTAATATTGTCCTGTATGTTGACCTCAGGGTAGGTATAGATGTGATATTGTCCAGTATGTTGACCTCAGGGGAGGTATAGATGTGATATTGTCCTGTATGTTGACCTCAGGAGAGGTATAGATGTGATATTGTCCTGTATGTTGACCTCAAGGGAGGTATAGATGTGATATTGTCCTGTATGTTGACCTCAGGGGAGGTATAGATGTGATATTGTCCTGAGTGTTCACCTCAGAGTTGGTAGGTATGTAATATTGTCCAGGGGTGGAAATAACCCATTGCCCGACATTCCAATCCAGTGTTTTTTTCTGTCGGGCAAACAAATTTGTATATCACGCTGTACTGGTGTCCAGTTGACTTTCCAACGTTAACTATGTTGTTTCTTCAAAAAATCAACTATGAAATCAGCCGGTATAGTGGAAAAATTATCAGGGCATGTGATTTTACATGTGCCACTGTACCGGAGTACACTGGCAAGTTTATAGTTATATCCACCCCTGATTGTCCTGTGTGTTAACTTCAGAGTAACCTACCTACCCTGAGGTCAACATATAGGACAATATCACATTACATATCATGTACACACCAACCCTGCATTTGGTCATTATATTTATCCCTGATATTATCCTTACTTGACCCCTGCAATGTATGCCTCATATTCTCGGCTGCATGTGTTGACCCTGGGGCTTATCTGATATTGTCCCGGATGAGATGACCCACAGATTCTGCATGGTACAGCTGACCCATTATTGTAAAGAGCCTGCCCCTGTGGTCTAGTGGTAACAATAGTAGGTCAGAGGTTCCATTCCAATCCCAAGCATATCAAAAGATGGTACTTGTTGTTTCCCTGTCCTCCACACATCATCCAGAGGATAAGACAAGGATTTCTATGCCCTCAGTCAGTGTTCTGTGTCTGAGATGGGTGTCCCTGCTATAGTGCAGCAGGCTAGAACTGTAAAACCAGTATAAGTTAAAAAAGTAGAAACCTGTGAAGATCCAGGTGAGAATTGATCTTCAGCAACCCATGCTTGTCGTAAGAGGCGAATAACTGGATCAGGTGGTTGACACATGTCATCATATTCCAGTTGCGTAGATCGATGCTCATGTTGTTGATCACTGGATTGTCTGGTCCAGACTCGATTATATACAGACCACCGCCATATAGCTGTAATATTGCTGAGTGCAGCGTTAAACAACAAACCAACCAACCAACCAACTTTTGTAACCGAAATTCACTTTCAAAACCATTTGTCAGCTTATGAGTTAGCTAATACCACCTGTTATTTACAGACTGTCGCCATATAGCTGGAATATTGCTGAGTGCGGCTTTAAACAACAAACCAACCAACCAACCAGAAAGGTAGAAGCATTTGCATGCATATGTCTTGTACAGACCACACACACATACAGAGTGCAGTAGAATGGAAAATTAAATCCATTTTCACCTCACCTGACCTGACCTGACCTGACCTCACCTCACCGATCCGAACCTCACCTCACCTCACCTCACCACCTCACCTCACCTCACCGATCCCGATCCCGATCCGGTCAATTTAAAAAACCAGGCCTTGGATGGGACATCAACTTCCAAGTATACTTAATGATTTTGTGAAAAGTTCAATATAGTCTGTTATACAAGGTTCCAATGTTAGGGCACTCTAACACAGGTCATAAATAATGTGAGACATTATCTCCCTTGTTTTATCCAGGCGTGATATTTGGTTGGCACTCAGTGGTGTATGTGTACAAAGATGAAGGCTACTTCGCAGACCTGTGTGACGTCAGCAACGTCTCTGTTACACAGCATGTCAACAACATCTCCACCGCGCAGTTTGTCGGCAACACCAGTGACGTACATCGTGTCAGCATCACAGCTATGTACTACACTACCTTGGCTAATTCCACCGGTAGAACACCCAGTCACTGGAACAATGCTACAGGTAACAGAGATTTCATCCTCTTTAGTCTTGGGTAGTTTGTATTTTGTATTTAGTGATGAAAATTTGTATTTTCCCAAAATACAAAATCAAATGAAATAGTACTTGCTGCATGAGTAGCGACCATAAAATATCTGAGTCCCATGGTGGGATTAGAACCACGGACCTTCTGATCCAAAGTCGAATACCTTGTCCACATGACCAAAGAGGTTAACCCCGTCAGCAAGCTGACAAGGTATGAATGCCATCTACGGACCGCAAACTTCAAACTGGTGAACCACATTCTTTTGGCCGGAAAAAAATATATATATATACGTTGTATTAGAAATGAATTTCTATGTTTCAAATCCTTTATTGCTACCTTGAAAGATATTTTTCAAGTTGAGAGATATGTTGCTACCATGAAAAACCAAATAAATGGATGTATGAGCAAATGGCTACCGCTACTTACAATATGGACTGATGTGTCACGACTCTTCAACATGCTTAAAGTACAATTTTGAGATAGTGAATTACAATATGTGCAGATTCACGGACGGGAAAAGATATACATATTTATATCCATAAGCTGTATTAGAAATTTAATTTTGTCCTTAAAATCCTCCATCGTTTCTTTGAAAGATATGTTGCCAGAATGAAAAACCAGCCAGACGAATGTGGAGTAAACGGGCTCCCATTACACAACATGGTCTGATGTGTTATGACTCTTCAATGTGTACAATTTATGATCTTTGTGCAGTAATACTTGAATGTACCTACTCATGTTTGAAGACTGATGTGTTGTGAACTGTCAACATGTACAAGCTTGTATTAGGCATGACATCTGTATAATAATGTATGAATGTTTCTACCGCTTGGTTACCCAGAAGGATACGGTGCTGTTATGAAAACAAACCAAATGAACCCATGAGCAAACAAGTAATATTACCCATAGCACCGACTTACCTAATTGCTCAAGCTTAGACGATCCGCAATTATACAAACTTGATTGTATGATTTTTGTATAAAATGATTGTAACTAGAACTGTCACCTGTCACTGTGTACGATTTTTGTATAAATGACTGTACCTACTGGTGTGAATAAAAGAAAAAAAAAAGAAGAAGTCCATTTGGACTTGCAACCATACCTCTCTCAGTCAGTAAAGAACAAATAAATTTCTGTCACTGAATTGAAAAAAAAAGAAAGAAAAAAAGAATGCCATCTACAGGATGACTCCACACCCTGCTACATACTTACCGGTACCAGTCAACAGAAGGAATGACCCGGGCTGCATAGCAGGGTACTGAGACTTATTCTGTTTGAATTTAATATGAAAGTCAGACCCACGTTAGGCACCAAGTCCTGTGCTGGGATTCAAACTATGGACCTTCTGATCTGAGGTCGGACGCCTTGTCCACATGACCAAAGAGGTTAACCCCGTCAGCAAGCTGACAAGGTAAGGATGTCATCTATAGGATAACTCCGTGCATGACTACTTTCAGTACATACCAGTAACACTTTACTTTATAGAGTACGAACAAGAAAGTTCCTCAAGTCTTATCCTCTTCTCCTCAGCAACTTGGTTGATGCATCAACACTGTTGTATTTTGCAGCTCCAGCCTCTGGGCTCCCACCCACAGAGCTTTCATGTGACGATCAGCTAAAGCTGTCGGAATCAGGCAAGAGCAAGGCCTGTGCCCCCCAAGATGAACAGTTCAGCCTCATCTTCTCCCTGTCCACCCTCATCACTGGACTCATGTGTGTCATCAATGGATACCTGTATGACCGCTTTGGAACCAGATTCTGCAGATGGATTTCCATGTAAGCTTGTTTGGAAGATCTGGGTTAGAATTGGTCTTGAGCAACCCATTTTTGTCGTACCAGTAATTTGACTAACCGGATTGGGTGATCAGGCTCGCTGACTTGATTGATGCATGTCAGTGTGTATATTGGATAGATCGATGCTCATGATGTCAATCACTGGATTGTCTGGTCCAGACTCGATTATTTACAGACCACCGTCATATAGCTGGAATATTGCTTAGTGCGTCATTAAATAATAAACAAACAAAGACCATTTTGCTACATATTTTACAGATTGAGTTGGGATCAATGAAATCGGCTTATCTATCATCATATGTGGTAATCGGGGTGGTGGGGTAGCCTAGTGGTGACGCCGTTCGCTCGTCACAGTGAAGACCCGGGTTCAATTCCCAACATGGGCACAAAGTGTGAAGCCCATTTCTGGTGTCCCCCACCATGATATTGCTGGAATATTACTAAAAGAGGCATAAAACCCAACTCACTCACTCTCTCACATGTGGTAATAACACTCCCTGAAAGACCTGCTGTCAGTCTAATGTTTTCAGTGTAAATTTTATGCAGACCATTTAGAAAACACATAATGCAAAAATTTCAATGTTTGGTATTTTTGGTGAAATCATCTCAAGATCTGTGCCATGATGAAAATACCAACTTGGTTAAGCCACTATATTAGATTAGCATGTTTAGATTCATATTTTGATTCAGGTGTGGGGATCACAGTTTCTCTGGGTGAAGGTGTGTGTATTCACGTATGACAGGGAGATCTGTGTTGGTAAAACCTTGTGGAATACCGACGATGACCTCGAAGCTTTCACCTATTCAAATCAACTTCAAATATTCATTATGTGTTTCATAGAGTATAGATTATATTTAATGACAAGTTTTTGTCTTAAGTCTGTTCAGCATTTCAGTGTTGTTTATTTCACTCATACTTTTCACTTTTTCAGAACATGCTACGTCATAGGGTTTGTGTGCCAGGTTCTAGCTTCTCCAGGTGAGTTGAATAAAAATGTATGCCTGTTTCCTCAGGTGCCATGCACTCTCTCTCTTACCGAGAATCCCTTCCTGCTATACCCGGGGTACATCCTCCAGTGCTATGCAGAGTATTTCATTCACTCTCTCTCTTACAGAGAACCCCTTCCTGCTGTACCCAGGGTACATCCTCCAGTGCTATGCAGGGTATTTCATTCACTCTCTCTCTTACAGAGAACCCCTTCCTGCTATACCCGGGGTACATCCTCCAGTGCTATGCAGGGTATTTCATTCACTCTCTCTCTTACAGAGAACCCCTTCCTGCTATACCCAGGGTACATCCTCCAGTGCTATGCAGGGTATTTCATTCACTCTCTCTCTTACAGAGAACCCCTTCCTGCTGTACCCGGGGTACATCCTCCAGTGCTATGCAGGGTATTTCATTCACTCTCTCTCTTACAGAGAACCCCTTCCTGCTGTACCCAGGGTACATCCTCCAGTGCTATGCAGGGTATTTCATTCACTCTCTCTCTTACAGAGAACCCCTTCCTGCTGTACCCGGGGTACATCCTCCAGTGCTATGCAGGGAGTTTCATCCACACTCTCTCTCTCTTACAGAGAACCCCTTCCTGCTATACCCGGGGTACATCCTCCAGTGCTATGCAGGGTATTTCATCCCCACCCTCTCTTACAGAGAACCCCTTCCTGCTATACCGGGGGTACATCCTCCAGCGCTATGCAGGGTATTTCATCCACACTCTCTTCTTACAGAGTTTCCCTTCCTGCTATACCCAGGGTACATCCTCCAGTGCTATGCAGGGTATTTCATCCACACTCTCTCTTACAGAGAATCCCTTCCTGCTATACCCAGGGTACATCCTTCAGTGCTATGCAGGGTATTTCATCCACACTCTCTCTTACAGAGAATCCCTTCCTGCTATACCCAGGGTACATCCTCCAGTGCTATGCAGGGTATTTCATCCACACTCTCTCTCTTACAGAGAATCCCTTCCTGCTATACCCAGGGTACATCCTCCAGTGCTATGCAGGGTATTTCATCCACACTCTCTCTCTTACAGAGAACCCCTTCCTGCTGTACCCAGGGTACATCCTCCAGTGCTATGCAGGGTATTTCATCCACTCTCTCTCTCTCTTACAGAGAACCCTTCCTGCTATAAATCCAGGGTACATCCTCCAGTGCTATGCAGGGTATTTCATTCACTCTCTCTCTTACAGAGAACCCCTTCCTGCTATACCCAGGGTACATCCTCCAGTGCTATGCAGGGTATTTCATCCACACTCTCTCTTACAGAGAATCCTTCCTGCTGTACCCAGGGTACATCCTCCAGTGCTATGCAGGGTATTTCATCCACACTCTCTCTTACAGAGAACCCTTCCTGCTATGCAGGGTACATCCTCCAGCGCTATGCAGGGTATTTCATCCACACTCTCTTACAGAGAACCCCTTCCTGCTATACCCAGGGTACATCCTCCAGTGCACATCCTCCAGTGCTATGCAGGGTATTTCATCCACACTCTCTCTTACAGAGAACCCCTTCCTGCTATACCCAGGGTACATCCTTCAGTGCTATGCAGGGTGTTTCATCCACACTCTCTCTTACAGAGAATCCCTTCCTGCTGTACCCGGGGTACATCCTCCAGTGCTATGCAGGGTATTTCATCCCCACCCTCTCTTACAGAGAACCCCTTCCTGCTATACCGGGGGTACATCCTCCAGCGCTATGCAGGGTATTTCATCCACACTCTCTTACAGAGAATCCCTTCCTGCTATACCCAGGGTACATCCTCCAGTGCACATCCTCCAGTGCTATGCAGGGTATTTCATCCACACTCTCTCTTACAGAAAACCCCTTCCTGCTGTACCCGGGGTACATCCTCCAGTGCTATGCAGGGTATTTCCTCCTTGTGACCAACATGCAGCTTGGAGGGCTCATTCCTCACCTTCGCTCCACACTTATCAGCATGTGCTCAGGATCCTTTGACAGCAGTGCGGCAATCTTCCTACTGTTCAAGGTAACTCTTATACATTCTCACTGGTGGCTTACCATAATAGGGTACCATGTTGGACATACAATCTGTACTTGATGGTACAGTCCGTTTGACTTCACTTGAGACTGATGAATTGCTCACTAACACAAAATCTAATACATGCAACAAAATCAAACTTTGCACAGTCACATGAAATCGGCACACCAACTCTGATGGTTTGTCTCATAGTTTTTGGATTTTCCATTCCAGGTGGCACATGAACAAGGAATAAAGATCAACTACTGTTTCGTGTTTCAAGTCTGCCTGTTCGTCATTGTCATTATCAGCACTGTTATCGTCCACAGGAAGAGTCACTTCCCTTGGCCTCTACCTCCGGATTATAAATTCCGTTATTATAATTTTTCTACATGCCAACACTTCAGGAATAAGAAAGAGAGGCACTATGACACTGACGCCAATGTGATTTGGAGATCAAATGAGAATGGAAGCATGATGATTGTGAAGAAGATTGAGGAAAAATCCACAAGTGAAAATAGAAAGTCTCTGATTGGTGATAAAGTTACAAATGATGAGAAGTGTGGGGACAGTGCCAATGGTTTATCTGCCTCTGTACCAGAACAGACAAGGACTCCAACCATGTTGGAGGTGATGAAGACTCCACTGTTTATATGGAACTTGATGTGGATGTGCTTCCAGAGGCTGAGGAGCTGGTTCTTTGTGGGGATGTTCAATGTCTGGATGACGAGGCTGGCATGTGGGGATAAAGCTATCGGTAGGTGTGTGTAGTTGGGGAGTAGGGGAAGGTGGGACGGGGAAGCGGATGGGGGAAGGTGTGTTCAATACATCTTATAGCTAAAATGGATAGAACTATCATTAAAATGCCCGCATGTTATCAGAAATGAGCAGGCCACAGTAACTTGATAATGCCCCCAAAGTGCCTCATGACGGGCCATTATCAAGCCCGTTGTTACGTGACATCAATAGGAGCTCAGCTCTTGATGTTCAATCACTTATGGCTTGTTTGAACTTGGGTTCAGTATTGAAGATATTTCTTACTCACATTTGTCACATGTACCTGTGCCATTATGCACTTTCTAGCCGGGGGCCAACCATAACACTTGTACCATAAATTACAACATGCAACAATGAAAACATCGACTGGAACTCTAACGTTGTTGAGCATTGAAAAAGATGGTGACTGGTAGTATTGGCAAAGGTCAAGGTCGAATGTCGTCACTCTCAATAGTGACGTCATCTGTCTTGTTCTGTGATGTTTCCATATTTGTAAAAAGTGTGTCATTGATCTCCGTCATTTGTTGTTAGCAGTAAATGCTTCAACTGTTGTTTGTTTTTATTTTATTTTATTAAAAGTTTTAGCTGTAATAATGGAAACCCTATTTTTCAGGGCATTATCATTTGCAGAAGCCCTCGGTATGAAAGACCTCGGGCTTCTGCAAATGATAATGCCCTGAAAAATAGCGTTACCCTTATATTGTTATGAGAGGCCATTGGGGACTGGGGTGGGATAAGGCTGTCGATAGGTGTGTTTTGGGGAGTAAGAGGGATGGGAGAGGGAGACAGGCTAGTATCCTATCTCTACTGTTCTATTTGTGACAATCCTGTCTCATTAGGGTTTGGTTTAATAAGCCCTCATCCCTTCCTCTCCAAAGTACAAATTTCTGACTCTACCAATGTCCTTCCATTTTGTGTACCACAGAGAGCTCCAGTGTAAGATTCATTCACAAAGTTGATGAGTTTTTCCATGTGTTTAATGGTTGTGTTGGTTATAATTTCAGTGAGCCAATACACATCCTTTTTTGCCTCTGTGCAATTCATCGGCATTTTTACCAGTCCTATGAGTGGCCGGCTGATGGACAGACGGATCCCAGCAGCCAAAATCTACAACAGCTTGAGAATGGGTATGTACTTCAGGTAGACCGACACCCCTCCCCACAGAGCTGTAAGACCTCTACCACTGATGCATCTCATTGACATAAACCTACGTTAATTTCAGTGTTGAATTCAAACTGTGGTCCTGATTCCTTCCCTTGGATAGAATTGGTCTTCAGCAGCCCATGCTTGTCATAGAATTGGTCTTCAGCAACCCATGTATGTCATAGAATTGGTCTTCAGCAGCCAATGCTTGTCATAGAATTGGTCTTCAGGAGCCCATGCTTGTCATAGAATTGGTCTTCAGCAGCCCATGCTTGTCATAGAATTGGTCTTCAGCAGCCCATGTATGTCATAGAATTGGTCTTCAGCAGCCCATGCTTGTCATAGAATTGGTCTTCAGCAGCCCATGCTTGTCATAGAATTGGTCTTCAGCAGCCAATGCTTGTCATAGAATTGGTCTTCAGCAGCCCATGCTTGTCATAGAATTGGTCTTCAGCAGCCCATGTATGTCATAGAATTGGTCTTCAGCAGCCCATGCTTGTCATAGAATTGGTCTTCAGCAGCCCATGCTTGTCATAGAATTGGTCTTCAGCAGCCCATGCTTGTCATAGAATTGGTCTTCAGCAGCCCATGCTTGTCATAGAATTGGTCTTCAGCAGCCCATGCTTGTCATAGAATTGGTCTTCAGCAGCCCATGCTTGTCATAGAATTGGTCTTCAGCAGCCCATGTATGTCATAGAATTGGTCTTCAGCAGCCCATGTATGTCATAGAATTGGTCTTCAGCTTCAGCAGCCCATGCTTGTCATAGAATTGGTCTTCAGCAGCCCATGTATGTCATAGAATTGGTCTTCAGCAGCCCATGCTTGTCATCAGAATTGTCATAGAATTGTCTTCAGCAGCCAATGCTTGTCATCAGAATTGGTCTTCAGCAGCCCATGCTTGTCATATAGAATTGGTCTTCAGCAGCCAATGTATGTCATAGAATTGGTCTTCAGCAGCCCATGCTTGTCATAGAATTGGTCTTCAGCAGCCCATGCTTGTCAGTAGGCTTGGTCTTCAAGCAACCCAGAAGTCTTCAGCAGCCAATGTATGTCATAGAATTGGTCTTCAGCAGCCCATGCTTGTCATAGAATTGGTCTTCAGCAGCCCATGTATGTCATAGAATTGGTCTTCAGCAGCCCATGTATGTCATAGAATTGGTCTTCAGCAGCCCATGTATGTCATAGAATTGGTCTTCAGCAGCCCATGCTTGTCATAGAATTGGTCTTCAGCAGCCCATGTATGTCATAGAATTGGTCTTCAGCAGCCCATGCTTGTCATAGAATTGGTCTTCAGCAGCCCATGTATGTCATAGATCAGCAGCCAATGTATGTCATTGGTCTTCAGCAGCCCATGCTTGTCATAGAATTGGTCTTCAGCAATCGCTTCCATGTATTTGTCATAGAATTGGTCTTCAGCAGCCCATGTATGTCATAGAATTGGTCTTCAGCAGCCCATGTATGTCATAGAATTGGTCTTCAGCAGTCATAGAATTGGTCTTCAGCAGCCCATGCAGATGTCATAGAATTGGTCTCAGCAGCCCATGAGTTGACCACGTGTCATAGAATCTGGTTCTTCAGATCATACTGATGACGAAAAAATGATCACTGGCATGTTTGTCATGTCACAAATGGAAAAAAATCGCCTCGATTATCTATCTGGACGACCACCACCATGCCGTTGTAGTTGTGGCATTATAAAAATAAACTTCAAACAAACAAACTTTAAAATGGGAAACAAATCTGTTCTTTCCTCTGCCGCTTCACCTCAGTCCTGTTTCACAAAGAGAGTCACCAGAGACATGTAATAGTGCGGGGCGATGGGGTAGCCTATAGTCTGTTTGCAGTGAAAACATACCGATGAATTTCACTTTAAACAAAAAGGAAAATCAAATACAGTGAAATTAAGATTGCGAATCCTCATAATTTTACCTTGCCAATTGAACATTTATATCTCAAAATTTTATTCAAATTAGGATAAAAGTTGTTGTAGATTCAAATCGCTATTACTGGTTTGTATTACAAGGGGGTAAGTGCAGTAGTTGGAACAGTGAAACAAATGCACGTGTGGTACGTTAAGAGCGTTAACTTATAACAAACCTTGTCGTTTTCGGTGTTTCATTTGATGTGCATACCCTCTTGTAATACAAACCAATAATAGCCATGTGAAACTGTGATTGTTTGTTAAACAACTTTAATCCTAAGTCGAATTAAATTCTGAGATTTAAATGTTCAATTGGCAAGGTAAAATCATGAGGATTTGCAGTCTTAATTTCACTTTATTTGTTTTACTTTTTGGTTTAAAGTGACATTCATCGGTACGTTTTCACTGCAAACAGACTATAGTGTATAGTGACTTGTGCTTGCTTGTCACGCTGAAGACCTGGGTTTGATTCCCCACATTAGTACAACCATCCTCGATAATCTCCAGGGTATACATTACGATCACTGTCCACTATACCCTGGATGCATCCATGGCTTGGCCCCGATAATAATATTACCTCCCTTGGTTGGCTTTTTATCCATCCAGGTCTCTACGCTGGGAAGTTGAGCGTACCAATCACAACTTTCTCTTCTTAAATTATCTAACCTATTAAACTTGGCAACACAATTGATGCAGAGGGTACTCTGAAAGATGTGGAAGGAGTTCTTTTATATAGTTTTTGTATTAAAATTTGTCTGTATTATTTCTCTAAAAGTCTGAGTGGTACTGCGAACAAACCTTTGCGACTGCGACTGCTATCTTTGTTGACACTGGCAAGCTCGGATGTGTAATAGGCACCTAACGCGTGATAGATGTAAAATAGACGCCCAGTGACAGCAGAACGTTGTATATGTGTGACAAGTGTCGGTTGGTTACTGAAGTAAAATGCTTTGCGTTGTGTTTGATAATTGGTCTCTTTACGTGGTCAGTACATCTTGTCTGCAAGTTCTGTGTGAATGGTTCCTGGCGGGTTCTCCCAATTCAACTCAATTAAAGTCAGAACAAAAGAATAGTAGGTTTCCATTCTTGTTTATTGGGAAAAAACCTGTATTAGTCTAAACAATCCTACGTATATCTACCTACCTAAATCCTACTTAAATACAGTTTAACTTTGGTCTATGTCCAACCCCTAATACCTACCCCCGAAAATAACAAAACAAAACCTACTCATTCCTATGCTATTTCTCCCCCTTCCCAAGCTAACACTAAATCAACACGACATCCCTAAAACAACAAACAATACGTGGAAACTTAACCTGGTCTTGATGCAAGACTCGAAGTCGCTAGACACTTACCCGATGCGGGTATCAGATGACTGACGATTCCCTACCTAGGGTAGGCCTATATAGTCGACATCGGACCCGTGACTGGGAAATCAGATTTCGGCCAATCGCGCGCGCTCCTTGCATCTCTGCCCCCTCAAGATGGCGGAGCATGCAAGGCGTGACATCGTCCTGTCTCCCCGGCCACGAGGTCCGCATGGGCCTAGGCTTCTACAGTAGACAGACTGTTCAAAACCAGAGGACACATGTGCATCAAGCAGGTACAGCATCTGACATCTTATTGCTCCAGGTCAGGACGGCCATGTGTGACATTACTTGCTGAGGACAGTCATATTGACAAATGACGTATCATTTGTCAGTAACCTGTAACATTAATGCACTGTTTAGGGGTCATGTAACTGTCAAGACCATGTGAAACCATTTGCGTGTGGCCTATCATCGTCCATATGTTGGCCGATTATGACACAGGTAAACCGTAATAAACATCTACACAAGACACATTTGCACCTGCACATGACTAAATGTCCTGCAAAATGTGGGTATTTGTCATCATTGAGTGGACATTGAGATCATCTGACCTCAATCCTGTTGAACACGTATCAGATGCTCTTGGTGAGGTGAGGTGAAATTGGGTTTAACATCGTACTTGAGAATATTTCGCTCATATGACGACATGCATGCGTGTGTATGTGTATGCGCGGCTGCTTGTACTAGCCCAGACTGAAGCTGGTTTTATAGTGCTAGCCCACTGAGATACCATGCCGCAGTGAAGCATGAATACCTCACTCAGACACATTATACTGACTCCGAGCCGACCAGTCCTTGTTGTACCCATTAATGCTGAGCGCCAGGCAGGGACCAACAAGTACCATATTTTAATGTCTTTTGGTATGAGGCGGTCGGGGATCGAACCCGCGACCTTCCGCTCTCCAGGCGGACGCTCTAACCACTACACCACGGAGGCGGTCAGATGCTCTTGGAAGAAATCTTCATGCCTTGAGACATCAAAACCAGAATGGTCAAGAGCAGGGCGCCATGTTGGCACACCAATGGAGCCGGTTGCCTAGCGCTGTGTTCACAGGTGTCAGGCAGTCAGTAAGAGATACACTGAACCAGCTGGGACATAAAGTAACACATGTGAAGTTTCTGTTTAGTATACATGATCTAGAGGCTGCAGTGGCTGAGTGGGGAAGATTGCTGACTTTGTGTCAGGGACCGTTCATACTTTATGGCTAAGGGGTGATGATGATGATTTTTATGGAGAAACATGTACAATGTGTATGGCCCCCCTAAAAATTATGTACAAAATAAGTGAACCCCCAGGTGTGTTATGCACAAAATCAATGACCGCCCCCCTCCCTTCACATAATTTCTAAACATATTTTTTTCAATATTCTTGTGTACAAATTTGCTGACCCCCACACACACACACCACCCCAGAAGAAACTGGGTGCCCCTTAAAATTCTCTCTCTCTCTCTCTCTCTCTCTCTCTCTCTCTCTCTCTCTCCTCTCTCTCTCTCTCTCTCACACACACACACACACAGCCATAAATTATGAACAGTCCCATAGAAATGAGGCAAATAATCCAGATACATATATATTTAACCAAAGTCTATCTCATATTCAAAGATGCAGAGATAAACAATTAAGGAAAGGCAACAATTGTTCTTTCTTCTGTTTGTCTAGAGCGTCTGCATGCGTCATTGGCCTCGTTTCTGATGTGTTCTGGTCTGTCTCTGGTGTTCACCATCCTGGTGGCGATCCCCATCCTCCCTCTCCAGTACGTGTCCTGCATCCTCCACAGCGTCTGCCGCTCCTTCATCTACGGACCAAACTTTGCCTTTGCAGCTAACGCGTAAGTTTATCATGGTATACACTGGTCACCAAGATGGTTTTATGCCACTTTTAGCAACATTCCAACAATATCACCTTGGAGATACCAGAAATGGGTTTCCCGCATTGTACAATTTAGGAATTGAAACCGGGTCTTTAGCATGGTGAGCTAAACAAACAAGCAGACTTCACTAAACGCAAGCTCACCGAAGCCATCCACATCAAACGCCAAAAGCCCGCCATCAACCGAGACCAAGGATACTTCATTCCATCCGCTTATGATGCACTCATCCACCAAGCCCAATCTACTGTATAAACTCTGCTGTATAAACATCTCATTATTATTTGTACATCATTGGCTTCCACGCCAGTCCTTTGTCTACTCTCTGGCTTCATCAGCTTTCTGCCTAGCCAATTATGTTAATTATGTTGTTTTCTTTGTTACATTGTTACATCCAGCATATATATACTTCCCCCTTCTTCATGTTCCATTATGCTTGACAACGGTACAAGAATCTGTATCGAAACGTCGCACTCACGAATAAAAAGAAGTTGTTATCCATAAAGTATGTTCTATAGAGCGAACTCTTGTCCAAACATACCTTGACCCTTCAGAAAACAAAAATGGTGAGTCATATCCATAGCAACAAATTGTGTACACTGAGAATGTTAGCAATTAATTATATCACATGTAAATATTGTTTGATCTGTGAGCATGCATACAAAATGTTCAAGTAATCAAGATGTTGCAGTTTCTCTCTGTTCAAACTACCATTTCCTTGAAGTGACATGATTCCATCTGCGTGATTCAGATATCCGTTGGAGCACTTTGGGAAGGCGACAGGGGTGATACTGACAGTGTCAGCAATATTTGGGATGCTGCAGTACCCACTGTTTCTCCTGATACAGGGGCCGTTAGACAACAACCCACTTGTGGTAAGTACCCTGTGAAGATCGGGGTTAGATCTGGTCTTCAGCAACTCATGCTTGTCTTCCATGAAGATCTGAGTTTGACCCCTGTGTTACTGCAGTTACTGTACAACTGAGTCTTGTAACACTCTACATCTTACAGCTTGATATACAGTAAAATACCTTTATAACGAAAACTCCAAGGGACCACTGAAATGAGTTTGTTATATCCGTAGTTGGCTATTCACGAAATTCCACTGAAAGAAGAAGACATACTGTACAGTACGATACATGCCTACTCAGTTTATTCATTCATTCATACGGCAGTTTCATTCGTTTCACTACAAAGTCTGTGATCTTACTTTGTCCACGCTTGGTCGACAGTTATATTCGTTTCACTACAAAGTCTGTGATCTTACTTTGTCCACGCTTGGTCGACAGTTATATTCGTTTCACTACAAAGTCTGTGATCTTACTTTGTCCACGCTTGGTCGACAGTTATATTCGTTTCACTACAAAGTCTGTGATCTTACTTTGTCCACGCTTGGTCGACAGTTATATTCGTTTCACTACAAAGTCTGTGATCTTACTTTGTCCACGCTTGGTCGACAGTTATATTCGTTTCACTACAAAGTCTGTGATCTTACTTTGTCCACGCTTGGTCGACAGTTATATTCGTTTCACTACAAAGTCTGTGATCTTACTTTGTCCACGCTTGGTCGACAGTTATATTCGTTTCACTACAAAGTCTGTGATCTTACTTTGTCCACGCTTGGTCGACAGTTACATTCGTTTCACTACAAAGTCTGTGATCTTACTTTGTCCACGCTTGGTCGACAGTTATATTCGTTTCACTACAAAAAGTGATCTGCAGGATCAGTTATATTTTTCTACAAACACTTACTTTGGTCGACAGTTATATTCGTTTCACTACAAAGTCTGTGATCTTACTTTGTCCACGCTTGGTCGTTTCACTACAAAGTTATCATTCGTTTCACTACAAAGTCTGTGATCTTACTTTGTCACGCGGTTGGTCGACAGTTATATTCGTTTCACTACAAAGTCTGTGATCTTACTTTGTCCACACTGATTTTGAGGTCGACAGTTATATTCGTTTTCACTACAAAGTCTGTGATCTTACTTTGTCCACAACTTTTTTATGTCAGACAGTTATAGTTCGCTATAGCCGTCAGTTTTCACTAAACAAAGTCTGTGATCTTACTTTGTCCATCATCTGTAGCATGTAACAATCATTTTAATCATTGTACCATACCATTTTTTACATATCTAAGGCCAATATTTGGCCCTGCAACAAACATTTACAGCAACATTTGTAGAGATAACTTGTGTTACACTGATAATATGGGGTCGTTGTTGGCACTGGTACAACAGAAATGTACCCCAGGTAGTTTTCTGTATACAGACATGTACTCTAAACAAAGTCCAAATACAGAAACCTCCCTGTATCCTAAACATAGGATGAGTCCATATTTCTCACCCAAAACCGAAAACCAAATGTAGTTGTTCCCGATCAGCTGATTTAGAGTGGTATTATGCATCGTAAAATATTCGTTACTGTGTCTGCTCGTTTCTTATAGAACACATTCAAGTGCATTTAAAACAACAGTATGACAGCTTCGATTAAGAAAACAGCACAATGCTGAATGTGCACGTCCTAGGGTACATTTCTGTATTCAGATTTTGGCTCGGGTATATTTCTTTATACAGAAACGTACTAGGGTACACATCTGTAGTACCCATGCTGACCCCTCCAGCATGAATGTGGGCTTTGTTCCCCCTACTGACTTATGGCTTTCACTGCAGGTTGACATCCTCTTCATCACAATGATGGTGGTCAGCTTTGGTCATCCCATGTACATCTGGAACTACCTCAGGAAGCAGAGAAGGAAGATTGAGAAGGAGACAGGGTGACGAGGACAGGCTGCAGCTATCTGCTAGTTTCGCTCTAGTCCCACTAGTTATACAACATGACATCAAGTCCCATATTATAAGCATCTGCTTGACCTGTTTTTGTCAAACTAGATAACATAACAACTACTCTGAAATTATCAATATCTGCTAGTTTCATTCTAGTCCCACTGGATATACCGCATGACATCAAGTCTCAAAGTATGGCTGTTTTTAGACATGTGACTGCAGTTCTTCACATTTGAATGTTTTTATAGATGTTATAATTTTGAAGTCTCTCGTAACTCTGTACAGGGTGGCTCGTTACTTTTACGCTTATATTGTCTTACGTTATGTATAGTTTTTATCATGTATATATTATGTATGTACGTTTTTATCAAAATGATGTAACAGGTGAGACTATAATAAATAACAATTCTACAGTCAGTATATATTCCACATGACAATCATTTTGAAATTATAAGCATCTGATGGACTCTGTTTTTGGCCTACTAGATATTCCACATGTCAATAAGTCTCAAATTATAGCTGCTTTTAGACATTCTAGTGTCAGTATAAATGTCCACATGACAATCATTTTGAAATTATAAGCATCTGATGGACTACAGCAATTTTGTATGGTCTTAGATATTCCACATGAACAAGTCTTGTTTTATATTTATTGCTTTTAGACATTCTAATGTCAGTATATATTCCACATGATTAATCATTTTGAAATTATAAGCATCTGATGGACTCTTAAGATTTTTGGCCTACTAGATATTCCACATGTACTTACTCCTGATGTTGAAAATTTATAGCCCTGCTTTTAGTCTACTGTCAAAGATATTCCATATGCAATTGTTTAAAATTATAGCATCTGATGGACTCGCTTTTGGACTACTAGATATTCCACATGGCAATAAGTCTCAAATTCCACATATTCTAGTATCAGTACAATTCCATATGACAATTAGCTTGAAATTATAAGCATCTGATGGACTTTTGGCCTACTAGATACCATGTGAATAAGTCTCAAATATAGCTGCTTTTAGACATTCTAGTGTCAGTATATATACCACATGACATCAAGTCTGAAATAATTAGCATCTGTGGGAATCATTTTTGTCCTACTAGACATACCACATGACATCTAGTCACAGACCATGACTGCTTGCAGGGCCCATGCTAGTGTCAATAGATACTCCTCATGACGTTGAGTTTGAAATTATAAGCATCTCTTGGACTCATTCTTGTCCCACTAGATGTACCACATAACATCTAGTCCCAGAGAGTCACAAAGACACTTTGTGTGCTGGCGATTAGGTGCCTGACTCTGAGGGTGTGGGTTCGAATCCCGGATGGGACTCAACCCCCAAAAGTACTAGAATCTGTACTTTACTGAGAAAGTTTAATCCCAAATATAACATATGTTACATTTGACCACTTTCTAAAATGGCATTGTGTATTTCATGACGTGAAGGTGTGTGAGTTATTTCTGACGGCTTTACTGATCACCGACATTGAAGTTAATTTCAAGCATATTTCTTCCAAAAAAGGCAGATGTGTTTGTGTATATAAGTGTGATTATGAATATGAAGTTACAATCTATATTTTATCGTAATTTTAATCAACATCAGAGAAAGTGGAACATATTTTGAAAGATAAAACATTGAAAGAAGTCTCTTGTCAAATCTTCAGCTGTGATTGTTTTATTCATACATCACTTTTACACAACCTACCTCTTTTTATTGTTGAGTTTAGATAATGCGGAAAATTCATGCCATCAACATATAATTATTCCACTCATCAGAATTAGATACTGATCATATCACAGCTCATGTACTTCAGAGTGTATCTAACTTGTTAACCCCCGCCGCGCTTTTAGCGCGAAGTGGGGGATATAGTATTAGGCTCCGTCCGTCCGTCTGTACATATGAATTGGAATATCTTAAGAACCGTTGACTAGATTCTTTTCATATTTGGTACCTAGGTTCATCAAAGTATAAGAAAGGTCCAAATCAGGTTTGGTGACCTTGAGCTTCTTTTCAAGGTCACAAGGGGACTTTAACGTTTTACCTGCATGTTAAGCTATCTCAAGATCCGTTCACTGGATTTTATTCATATTCAATACCGAGCTTTATCTAGGGAAGGCGCAGGGCCCAGTCAATTGTGGTGACCTTCACTTAATTTTCAAGGTCACAGGGACACTTTGAAGAGTTCAGCATGTTAACCTGCATGTTATCTTTGTCAGCTCAAGATTCATTGAATTTTCTTCATATTCAATACCGAGCTTTATCTAGGGAAGGCGCAGGGCCCAGTCAATTGTGGTGACCTTCACTTAATTTTCAAGGTCACAGGGACACTTTGAAGAGTTCAGCATGTTAAATTGCATGTTAAGATAGTCATCAAGATATCGCAAAAAAATATTCACTGGATTTTCCAGGGTCACGAGAACACTTTGAAGATTTCAGCTTGTTAACCTGAATTGTCAGCAAGATATTTCAAAAACGGTTCACTGGATTTTCTTCATAGACTTTCAAGACTTCCCTTGAATGTTTTTCAATAAGCAATTTCTTTAGTACTATTTGTGCATATTTCATACACTATGACATTCATGTCAAGGTCAAAGTCAGTCTTGAAAATATGTGTGTGTTTGAACAACTAAAGAGCAAGATATCAAGAGAGGTTGACTGGTCATGTTTTTGTTGACATTTAACTTCATCTTAAACTTTCATTACTTTGTAAGTTTGATTTGATAATTTGCGGCGGGTGGCGGGGGATTATGTCACCTTAGTGACAATGCTTGTTTTGTTTGTTAGATACATTTTAAATTCTTGATTTTTAAGATCAAGTACATTTGTGTTTTGTGAAATGTATGAAATTCTGAAAAAGAATTGTCAGAGCAAATATATTTTGATGGAAATATTGGATATTCAATATATATTTTGAAGACCAAGTAGACTTGAACCCTGCTTATCCAGACACCAGATATCCAAACCTTGTCTACTGGATGATATTTATGTGAAACCAAATATATATGATATATAATGCTCTATCAGGAAATTCAGATCCGGATTGTGAATTTCAGTCACCAACTGTGCAAAATAATACCACAATGTCCCATTTACAATACGACCATGTTTGATATCGATGATGTTGTTTGGCAATTTATCGTCCCACATCCAAAAGTTGAGGTGCGATGTGTTAATATAATCATGTTATTACACATCAAAACATTCCTTACATAAAACGATATCCACTATCCAGGAATTCCAGTCAATGTAAGTACTATGCTTATGGTTTCCATGTTATATTTAGAAAGTAAATGTAACTGAAACAACAGTATTGGGATATATTATTTTGGATGTGATAGTGGTTTCTGTTACAATTTACTTCTATCGCGTTTCCTACAGGAAGTCAAAAGGGCAAGGTGAGAGAATTTCAAAGGGGGAACTCTTATTCCAAAAAGGGCATGCAGTGATAGATTTCCAAGTTTTATGTCAAATTATTCATGCATATGATTCTTAAAGGCCCAAAGAGCTATTATTTCATTTAACTTCAACATGAAATAGAAACTATAAACCACCAAGTGTTAATATCGTCAATTATTGTATTAAAAGAAGGGCAGGGCATCCAATAAAAAGGGCTGCGCCTTGCTAATACTGCCTAAGGGAACACTACTTCTACCATTGTCTAAATAGTCTATATGTTATATTATTGGGTATTGTTTAACTGAATCCCTGGTAGATCGGAGAAAAGCCATGCACAGCCAACTCCTATTTCAGGCTTAGTTTACAAGAAAATGCATCTGTTAAAAATTCTTGCATATAAGAGTGCCAAGATGGCAGGAAATAAAATTTAAATGATAAATCTTCATGTTTAGTGATGCTTTATATTTAGTTCCGAATGTTATCAATATCACCCGTTCTTTTCACCTAAATTCAATAGAGGAATACAATTTAGATTTTCAGTTTAGGCCAGACCAATTTTATTTCTTGTTTTACGGATTTTTTTCCTCAGAAAACCTAAAGGCAGGAGGGAAAAAAAATGAAAATAAAATCACGAGTCAAAGTAATACCAGTATTCCTTCTAATTATTAAAAGTATTTTACTTCTGGCAGTTTATGATGTGTACATGTATATGGGGCAAAACACAATCAAAAAATCTTTTTCTTGTAAGTTTACATTTTTGGCCAATAAAAACATTAGGATTTATTTTTTGAGCAGGGAAAATTATTTTTTAAATTTTTTTCTTATTCTTGAAAAAATATGACCGGCAGATCCGTAAAACAAGAACTAAACTTGGTCTGGCCTTACTTTACTTTGTATTTTATAACATAGGACTTTTGTTTATTGGTTTTAGTTTATTTTACCCTATGTAAAATTTGGGTTGAGAAGAAACTGATAAAAGATTCAGATCTTCGGAAAATGGTTTGTGGACAATATTCGAGAAAACGCATAGTCTGGATAAGCAAGGTTCAACTATATATAAGTTTTTAGGGATTTGAGAAATTCTATATATTGGCAAGTTCAAGTATATTATGGCTTGAAATTTTTAAGCATATTTGCTGTGAAATTCAAACTTGTTTGCATGATTGTGTGTATGTTAGCTGTTCAATCCATTGTGTGTTGGTCAGGCGGGTAAGGGATCAAAGATCTCAGATGTTCGGTGTATTTTATTGCATTTTTCATTTTGTTAATTTTCTTGCTTAAAACTCCACATCACAAGTGAAAAATAATTTAGTAAAAATAATTAAGGGAGGTAATCATGGTAACCCCATATTCTGTATTTGCCTGTTAGCCTCAAATATCCTCTTATATGAACTTCATAAAATCACAGTCTTGGATGTTGGTTAGTTGCCTTTTTGTTTTACGCAGCACTCAGCAATATTCCAGCTTTATGGTGGTGGTATGTAAATAATCGAGTCTGGATCAGACAATCCAGTGATCAAAAGCATGAGCATGAAACTACTCAACGGGGATACAACGAAACACATGTGATACATGTGATCTCACCTAGTCACATGAGTTTGTTCAATATTGTCTCTGTTCACCCAGCAGAAAAATGGGTACCCAGTGGATAATAAGTTATAAGTCATAATAAGTTGTATGCTTCTCTCGAGGGTAATACGGTCTGATGTACGCCTCTTTGTAGCAGTGTCACCCGAGCCGGCATTATTTTCATATGTCGTGTATATTGAGGTACAAAGACGTATCAGATAACCAGTATCAACGGTTGAAGAGTACGTTTCTGTTTGTCAGTACCATGATCATGTTTGTGTGTTTATTTTAAAGTAGTATGTCCAAGGCAAACATCACTTGTCTTGCTCCACATTATGCTGTCAGACTTTTTTATGACTTCAAATTGGTGTTGGGGACCGTTCATAATTTATGGCTGGTGCGTGCATGCGTGCGTGCGATATGATGATGATTTTAAGGGGCTGATGGTGGTCACCCATTTTGTTCTGGGGAGGTAGGGGGTCATCAATTTTGTACACATGTACTATGGGGGTGTCATTGATTTTATACATCACATGGGGAGGTGGGGGTGTCATTTACTTTGTACATACATTTTAGAGAGGGTCATGGACACATTGTACATGCTTCTCCTTAAAAATCATCATCACCCCTCTAGCCATTAATTATGTACAGTCCCTTATCTAGCAGTTTTAATCAAACACACTAGCACATTTTGAATTTGACCCTTGGTTGAAAGAACTGTCATTTATATCAAAGTTGGCTTAGAGTGCTGTTAGGTCTTTGAAGGCATTTAGAAGGGGTAAGGATAGACTCCGAAACGTGTCCTCATAACAAGTTGACATCCATAAAACTCTCTTCCTTACAGTGCTGTGGTTCTGTTTTTTATGTTCATAAGCATGTGCTTGTTTGCAATAACTAGGTTCTTTTAACCTCATGTCAAAGTGGTCATATTTTAATGATGAAATAAATACTGTAATTGAACAAGTGGTGTTTGTTTGTGTTATCCACACCAAGTACTTTCAGCAACCTTTTCACAGGCTTTATGGATGATCAACTTCTTTATTGCACAATAAAGAAGTTTATTACAACTGAGAAAAGTAACACACTTTTCTGGACAAAATATATGATATTTTACTTCATTTTGCAGGCTTCATATGACTTGTATTTATCAAAGGCCACACTTTGTTAATAAAATTTGCAGAATCAAGAAGCTTGTCACAATATTAAGTTGTGTTTTTTTTTTATTCCTTTCAACAAAACATATTTGTTGAGTACATGCAGTGTAAAATGAACACAAGGTCTATTTGAATTGCACGAGTGAGTGTGGTTTTACGCCACTTTCAGCAATATTCCAGTAATATTATGTAGGCGGCACCAGACATGGGCTTCATACATTGTAACCATCTGGAATGACAAGCGAACGCTTTAACCACTAGTCTACTCCACTGCCTCCGTGGTGTAGTGGTTAGAGTGTCCGCCCGGAGAGCGGAAGGTCGCGGGTTTGATCCCCGACCGCATCAACCAAAAGACGTTAAAATATGGTATGAGCCTGACCACCCGATCCCGTTAAACGCCTCTTATGACAAGCCTTTTGTGGAAAGCATGTGTTGCTGAAGACCTATTCTACCCCGGATCTTCACGGGTCTCGGGTGTGGATACTGATAAGCTAGGAGGATGTTACGTGTCTTGTCATCGCCTGGCTCTCCTGGCCTGTGGGCAGCTGTTATGAGTGAGTGCATGACTGACGAAGCAGGTGGGCGGGAGGTTGGAGTGAGTGAGTGAGTGATTTGTATGAATGGGTTGATCTGAGGGTGGGTGGTTTGGAGTGTCAGTAACTTTGTTGGTACAGTTCAATGAAAGACAGTTTTAGCCCAGTCATTTACTTCCTTAAAACTTTCAATTTCACTTCTTGAATATGATCAGCAAAATGCCCAAAAGACAATCTTTATTCTTGTAAAACACAAATACATGTCATTGAACTCAAAGTATTTAATCTTTGAATATTACGTCCTGGATCATTTTATTTCAACACACATAATTCTGGAAATTTCTTATCATAAACATTGTAAACAATTAATTGCTAGAAATAAACTAACTACTGTCAGTTAATGTTTAATTCCAACAATCAACAGAGTCCCACAAACTGTCTGATAGTCTGATGTCTTTAAAATCAGTCATCCAGAAAGTACTATCAATTTCTGGACAGTGTATAATCTCTGCATCATCGATCAGCTTTATGGTACATTTGCGCAAAACCCTCATCAACTCAGATGGCCCAGATGGACTGGTGTCCTTGTTACCCTTAGCAACCAAATCTCTAGCGGCAGCAGAGTTCCTATTTGGTGGAACTGGAAAAGGGATGCCAGTTTGCCTGGAGGAAGTCTTTGTGGGAGCTGCTCCTGTTCCTTCGGAAAGAGACTTTGTAACTGAGTAAGTGAGTGACTTGGTTCGAACCTTGTTGGCTGCAGTGGTTGTTGAAGAAATGCCAGAGACTGTCTTGGTAGACTTGTTGATTTGTTTACTGTCTTCAGTGATCTGAAAGTTGAGCTAGACATCAAACTTTGCTAAGGGTTAACACAGTCATCTTTTGTCAAAATGATGGTCCTTACCAAATATTGAGTGGCATGAATGGTTTATTTATTTAGGTAATATCAGTAAGATGGAGAGTGGGACAAATTCTCATTTATGCATGTAGAGTCCTTCCATTTTCCCATTAGAGGATACTCCTGTCAAAATGATATCTTATGTAGACGATATGACCATCTAAGATGGAAAGTGGGAAATGAATAGTAGAGTCCAGTACCGAAATTAAACAGGCAGAAGCTTCATGTTTAAATGCCACACAGTTTCCATGCAGATACAAAATTTTTTTATTTTTTTATAAAAATATGAAAAAGCAAAAGTTGATTAAGAATAAGCTTGTGCTTATAAGACAAGTATAGTGTAAGCAAAACTATTTATAAGTTTGAGAATTATGGCTGTTTGAGATTGAGTCCAAACTGTTTCCATGGAAAAAAGACAAAATACAATCTAGAAAGCTTTCAAAGCAGCAAAAGACACAAGTTGAACTGACAAGGTACACAACTGCATTTACAAAAACTGAATGGTTTTCAAGCTTTTGCTTGGAGTGAGTGAGTGAGTGTGTGAGTTTAGTTTTACACTGCTTTTAGCAATATTCCAGCAATATCACGGCGGGGTACACCAGAAATGGGCTTCACATATTGTACTTGTGTGGGGAATTGAATCGCCATGACGAGCAAATGCTTTAACCACTAGGCTATCCCACCACCCCATTTTGTTTGGAACAGGCAAGGGAAAACAAATGCCTATACATATGGCACATATGGTTAGTTTTGCTGAAATATGTAGCACATTTTATAAGTTATAACCTGGAAATGTACCTTACCCTCATTTCAGGCTAAATTAAAATTGTTTCAATGGCAACCAAATTTCAAAAGCAACATGCTTGATAAGTTCTTGAAAAATGCTTGTACAAAGTTTCATTGAAAAACATTTTACATTTTTGTGATATGTCTTAGGAGTACTATTTGAAAGGCAATGCTGATGCTCACACAATTGTCAATGGGGACTGACACCCAAACAATAAAACCAAATGTCTCCCCTCTTCTTTGGGAGACCGCCTCCGTGGTGTAGTGGTTAGAGCGTCCGCCCGGAGAGCGGAAGGTCGCGGGTTCGATCCCCGACCGCGTCATACCAAAAGACGTTAAAATATGGTACTTGTTGGTCCCTGTCTGGCGCTCGGCATTAATGGGTACAACAAGGACTGGTCGGCTCGGAGTCAGTATAATGTGTCTGAGTGGGGTATTCATGCTTCACTGCGGCATGGTATCTCAGTGGGCTAGCACTATAAAACCAGCTAGTCTGGGCTAGTACAAGCAGCCGCACATACACATACACACGCATGCACGTCGTCATATGAGCGAAATATTCTCAAGCACGACATAAAACCCAATTTCACCTCACCTCACCTCCTTTGGGGATAGGCATAATTCTGAATATATTGTACCTGGTAATGGATGAGCTTACAAGTTTTCCTTGAGACTTTGTTTGAGCTCTTACATCTTTCTGGCCTGTAACAAAAATATTAGAATTAATATCAATGAGAAAAGGTTAATTGGATATTAATTACTGTCTTCAAGTTTTATTCCAACTCATTTGCTGTATGTGGGATGTTGTACCTGACAGTTGTTCAGGATGCATCTTGTCCACTTAAAACACTTGGGTGCATCGTGCCCAGCTGGTGAGTGAGTTGGTGGGCGAGTTAGTGAGTTGGGTTTTATGCCCCTTTAGCAATCTTCTGCAATATCACAGCAGTGGACACCGGAAATGGGCTGCACACATTGTACCTATGTGGGGAATCAAACCTGGGTCTTGATGAGTGAATGCTTTAACCACTAGGCTAACCAAATGCCCCAAATGCAACAGGCCTTGATTTGAGAGAAATTGAAGAATTACCTGAAGATTCTGTGCTTTCTCTGACTACAAATGATGACAATGGCCGCCCCTTGTAAAGAACCTGAAAATGTATCAGTAGAGCTAAGTTCTTCAAGGTGATTCTTTGAAAGGAATGTCTACCATGCCTTTGATTTATTTATTCCAAGAATTCAAATCACATTATCAACCACTAATTTTAATATTGGCAGCCTGATTTTGCTGCTGCATCACTCATAACAAAGGCATAAATGTATTTAATTGTAAAGTCCCTGTTTTAAGTCTACTGCCTACTGACACACCATGTTATAACACTGCAGCCTTGTGTCTCACCCTATAATAACATTGCAGCCTTGTGTCTCACCCTGTTACATAATAACATTGCAAACCAAGTGACTCACCATGTTACAATACTGCAGTCTCGTGACTCACCCTGTTATTGGGTTACTCTACTGACTCACCCTGTTATAACATTGCAACCAAGTGACTCACCATGTTATTACACTGCAGCCTATTGACTCACCATATTGAAAGATTGCAGCCAAGTGACTCACCATGTTATAAGATTACAGCCAAGTGATTCACCATGTTGTAAGACTGTACCTAAGTGACACACCATGTTGTAAGGCTGCAGCCTAGTGATGCACCATGTTGTAAGACTGTACCTAAGTGACTCACATGTTGTGACTCACCATGTTGTAAAGACTGCAGCCTAGTGATTCACCATGTTGTAAGACTGTACCTAAGTGACTCACATGTTGTAAGGCTGCAGCCTAGTGATGCACCATGTTGTAAGACTGTACCTAAGTGACTCACATGTTGTAAGGCTGCAGCCTAGTGATGCACCATGTTGTAAGACTGTACCTAAGTGACTCACATGTTGTAAGGCTGCAGCCTAGTGATGCACCATGTGTAAGACTGCACCTAGTGACTCACCATGTTGTAAGACTGTACCTAAGTGACTCACCATGTTGTAAGACTGCAGCCTTAGTGACTACACCATGTTGTAAGACTGCAGCTAGTGACTCACCATGTTGTAAGACTGTACCTAAGTGACTCACCATGTTGTAAGGCTGCAGCCTAGTGATGCACCATGTTGTAAGACTATACCTAAGTGACTCACCATGTTGTAAGGCTGCAGCCTTGTGATGCACCATGTTGTAAGACTGTACCTAAGTGACTCACCATGTTGTAAGACTGCAGCCTAGTGATGCACCATGTTGTAAGACTATACCTAAGTGACTCACCATGTTGTAAGACTGCAGCCTAGTGATGCACCATGTTGTAAGACTGTACCTAAGTGACTCACCATGTTGTAAGGCTGCAGCCCAAGTGATGCACCATGTTGTAAGACTGCAAGGTAGTGACTCACCATGTTGTAAGACGACACCTAAGTGACTCACCATGTTGTAAGACTGCAGCTTGTTGACTGTGCCAGCTCCACTGACTGCCTGACACCAGGATGTGGGTGTACGGAACATCTCCCCTTCAGAACCAATGATGTGACCCTTCCTACTCAAAGTGGCTCGAAACACTTTGCCCTGAGGAGAATAATATATATATCACTGTGGAGAGAATCTGAAAGAGCTGAATTATACACACAATTCAGTTTCTGCAGACTCTTGACAACTTCAGGTTTCCTTGGGCTTGTTTTGGGTCTTGTTAACACCTCATTCAGCAATTTTTAAGCTATATGACAGCAGTCTGAAAATAATGGAGTCCAGGCCAGCCAATTCAATACCTTATAGCATGACATAGCTGGAAAATTGCTGAGTGTGATGTTAAGTCAAAATAGGAAACCAAACTGGATACATAGAGAATACTACACGAGGTCTCATTACATACGAATTATACGAAACGAGTGTCCTTCCTATGGTATCTGACCGAGCGAAAGCGAGGTCAGATAACATAGGAAGGTCACGAGTTTCGTATAATTCGTATGTAATGAGACCGAGTGTGGTATTTTATTTATTACCCACGTCTTACATGCATTTAAATTGACAAAATAGCGTATTTTTGTTATGTTTTTGGTTTCAAACCGAAACCGGTTTCATAAAGAGGTTGCGGAAGAGTTTTGTACTGTAGTACAATATTTGCATGACGTCACACTAATGACGTCACTGCCATGGTAACCGACGTCACGATGCATGTCAGTTGTAATCGCCTCGTACAGCCTCCTACAGTAAACTACTCCGTTGCACCTCGTTTCTTGGTTTCCAGTTGCTTCATTCGGCTAACATCACTGGTGGAAACATTGCGTTTATGTTTTTCGACGGATATAATGTCTCAGTTCAGCTCACAATTAAACAGCGACTCGGCAACGTTCGCAATGTTTACATTCCCACAATGCATTTAAGTTGTAGAATGAATGAATTCACGTGTTTGTTATGAATGAAAAAATAGTTACGTCAGAATGTGACCTAATTGAGAGGTCATCGGTTATCCAATCAAATCGTTAGAATTTCAGGTCAAGTCGTTACGACACAGGTCAACGCGATACGACACTCGTGTGACGTACGAGATTAATATGCAACTACCCATACGTTGACCACGTGGGTAATAAAGTCAATTACCACATCCTTACCTCTGCTCTGACTGACAAGACATCCTTGCCAGGAGTCAGCACCCCTTTCTCAACCAGGGTAGGGAGGTCAGCCATCTTGGATGTGGCAACAGGTTTTGGTGCAGAGGGGACTTGGGGCTGAAGCAGAATTATGTTTGACAGAAAAAGATTAGTAGAGTATATTATTTAAACTGAAATAATGGGAAATATAGAAAACATGATCAAGAATACTGATGTGGCAGTGGCATACAAAGAAAGGATTTGATTAATTTTTATTTACAAAGTATATAATTTCTTTAGTTTAATAGATTTATCATTTAAATAATGAGTGGTTGTGAAAAAAACATGAATTTAATTGTTTGTATTTCTGATTGTGGATTAGGTCCTGGTCAGTTGAATATGTTAAAACTAATAAATTGGAGTGAATACATCACACGTTTTATGAATAACGTCTTTTTATTCTTTATACATAAAACATGCCATGTATTCATGTTTGTCCAACGTCTAAATGCCTTTCAATATTCCATCAATATTCCATCAATATCATGGCAGGGGGACATCAACATTGCCTTCACAGATATTACCCATGAGGTGAATCGAACCCGGGCCATTTGGCATGACAAGAATTGCTTTAATAACTAGGCTATCTCACAGCCCCTCAAAAACATTTAACATACAGCAACGTACCTGCACAAACATAGGAGTCTGGGTGTCATCGTCCACATCCTTGACTTGAAGGTTTTCACTGAAGTCTTCTATCCTTCCAATTGGTATAGCAATGTAATTACTGGGAGCCTCTTCCTGAAGCAAGACTTTGTCCTTCCTTGATTGTTTCTCCCTGGCATCTCTCTCCGCCATCCTCCGCACCAGTTCCCGACAGGACACAGGGAACACGTCGCTACTGGCAACAGTTGACCCAGGTGAGAGGAACGTGGATGCTGGCAAGTTTTCAGACTGCAGTTTCTGAGGAGGAGTTGCGATATTCTTCAATGGACGAGGAGGAGGAGACATCAAAGACACATTTTTAACCTTTTTTGTGCCTTGTTCTGGAAGTGACAGACAAGTCACTTCCATCCGAGCGGAACAAACAGACCTGACATTTGAAGGGGACATCAAATTGGGTGTACTCCCTTCAGCTCCTACAGCTGATGAAAGTGTGCCACTGTTGCCATGGCTACTCAAAGATGGACCATTTACTTGTCCTGTTGTATTGTCATTGTTGATATTTCTATATTCTGGAATGATATCACGTGATTTATTCAAACTACCATCCTTGCTCTTCAGACTGATGGGAACTAGAGACCCATCTACTTCCTTGCTACAAGTCTGTTTCACAGATAGCACAAAGCCTTCCTTCTTGTCAGATGCAATCTTTGATTGGATAGATTCTCCCTCCGAGTTTCTGTTGCCTGCTTTCTGATGATAAGTCTCTCTCTCCTTCACTTCAGACTTTGTTGCATCAGATTCGGACTGACTGATACCTGGTTTGCATGGAGCCTGGCCACCTTCAACTGACTTTACAAACTGTTCTGCAGTACATGTCTTGATCTTCTTTGTTTCACATTCACTTCGACCTTCAAAACTAGGTGCGGATGAGTCCTCAGCTTTTCTCTTCATTTGGCTAACAGGACCAGATGAAGTGGCACTATTCCAGTTCATTTCACTAAGATCAGCACCTTTTTTCTTGTCCAATTTGTCATCCTCCTGCATGTTAACTGACACACCACCTTGCCAAGCAGTGTTGTCGTCAATGTGTATGGCAACCCTTCCATCATTTTGTGTGTTGATTCGTCCAGAAACTCTTCTGTCCATCCTTCTGTCAGTTTGTGCACCTATCCTCTCATCAACCTCACTGTCTGTCCTATCAGCATGTCTGTCTGTCTTTCTATCTGCCTGTGTGTCCATCCTTCCCTCAACCCCTCTGTTCCTCCTACCGCCACGTCCACTGTCCATTCGTTCCTCAACCTCACCGTCTATTCGTCCCTCAACCCTGCTGTCCATTTGTCCGTCAACTTCACTACCCATACTTCCATCAACCCGTCTAACCACCAGTCCCTCAACCTCACTGCCCATCCTTCCCTCAACCTCACTGTCCATCCTTCCCTCAACTCCTCTATCCATCGCATCCTCTTCCATCTCTATAGCTACCTTCTTCAGTCCCTTCTGGTCAGTTCCCCCTTCTGTCCACACCCATTCTTTCTTACCCTGCCTTACCCTGCCACCTATATGTCTGATGTCATGGTCAGGGCAGTCAGACTCATGGCTCAGTGCCTGTGTTGCAATAATCTCTTCAACCATCCTCCTGTCCCCCTCCAGTTCAGAGGAGCCCTGACTGAACAGGTCTTGTTGACTGTCTTCTATCTCACTTATCTGCGAAGCAGTCCTATCCACAGCCCCAGAACTATGAACACTTTTCACAAAAGCTTCTGTCTCCTTGATCTGTGAACATGGAGCAGGACAAAGGTCTGCTTTAGCCAGCAACTCATTATTGGTGGCAGTGATAACACTGTTATCTACAATACAAGTTGGATTTGATTTAGAAATAAGAATGCTATCACTAAAGTCAGTCTTTTGAGTCTGTTCCATATCATCTCTGTAGTACTGACTTAGAACATCCACATCATTATCCAAACATTCCTTCTTTCTGTCATGATAGCCTGTCACATTGCTTGTTCGGGCCTCAATAGCGCCGTATGTTCTGGAAACACCATTTTGATCCCTCTGGAACACCTTTGATGCATTATCTTTTCGAAAACTAGACTCAAACAAGGCAGATCCTCCATTTTCAGCTGCAGTGATGTCATGAAATCTGTCGACAATGTCAGTTTTGTAAATCGTAGGGACTGAAGAAGGCTTTTCTATAAATGGTCTTCTGCCATTGCCATCAGTTATGTCTGCGTGTACTGTTGACGCTTCTGCTGCTGGTCTTGAAGGAGGAAATGTGTTCACATTTCCATGTTTGTCTTTACTGGATTCTCCACCAGAACAGGAAGTTCCAGTTGCATCGATACCAGCAAGCACCTGCTTCAGTCTGAAGTTGAGCTGCTTATGTCTGTGCACCACCTGCAGCAGGTGCTTCTGTCTGTCTCCCAGCTCCTGCAGCTCCTTCTTCAGCTGCTTCTTGCTGGACTTGGACAGGCCCTTCACACCCACCCTCACAGACAGCCTTCCCCTCTCAGTCTTGTGCTGCTCATTTAGCTGTGCTACTGCTCCTTGTATTTGTTTCAGTTCTGTTGATATCTCCACTGCGAATACATAAATGTTTAGTTTTATTCTTTGATTCAGTAGTGTGACAGGTGCTCTCTACAATAAGCCAGGTTATTAAAAGTATTTAGAAAGAGTAGACTTGATGAGGATTTAAAGAGATTTTTGACGGCTAGAAATACATTTTCTTCTGTCGTGAGAAAAACCCCCGTTTGTATCAGGACAAGATAGTGACAATTCTGGACTCGTCCATTACAGTAGAGGAGGTTACCAAAGCAATAAATACCCTCAAGTGCTCTAAATCTGAGGGTGAGGATAAGTTAATTGCGGAATTTTTCAAGTTTTCTTCTGATATTCTTGTTCCGTATTTAACAGTTCTATTCAACATGATCTTTGATAATGGTGTGTTTCCTGCTCAGTGGTCGGTTGGTCTTATTGTTCCTATTCATAAAAAGGGAGATCGAGATTCAGTTTCAAATTATAGAGGAATTACTATTCTCAGTGTATTTAGCAAACTTTATATTGCAGTGATTAACGACAGACTTAAATTTTGGAGTGAAGCTTATGCTAAAATATCCGAGGCACAGGCAGGGTTTAGAACAGGATACTCAACCGTCGACAACATCTTTATTCTTCATTCTATTACACAGAGAATTCTATCGAAAAAGGGTAAGTTGTATGCTTTCTTCATCGACTTTTCGAAAGCATTTGATTTGGTAAATAGCGGCGACTCAGGTGGTGCAACAACGTAAGGATCACGGACTTTACAAAACTGGAGGCGAATCTGGTTTTCTGATGAATCACGTTTTTTGCAACGCCACGCGACGGAAGACAGCGCCTGTATAGGAGACGTCATAACGTTTTTTCGCCCATCTGCGTCCGACAGGTGGACAGATTTGGCGGAGAAAGCGTCATGGTTTGGGGAACCATCTCATACAACCAGAAATCAGACTTGGTGATCGTTCCAGGGAACCTGACAGCCCAACGTTACATCAACCACGTGTTAGAACTTCACCTTCTCCTGATTATTGACCAACAGACACAGATTTTTCAAGCGGGACAACGCCTCGCCTCATACTGCACACGTGCAACAATGAACTTTCTGCAGAATTCCAACGTCAATGTCTTGCCATGACCCTCTAAATCACCAGACCTCAACCCTATTGAACACCTGTAGGATACTCTGGATCGACGCCAGACGCCAACGTCAGCCGCGCGCCACAGACGCTGCAACAGCTCGCCGTTGCACTGCAGGAGGAGTGGAGAGCCATTCCCCAGGAAAGAATCCGGCGTCTTATCCGTTCTTGTCCAAGGAGATGCCGTGCAGTGATTGCAGCAGCGTGGTGCTCATCGACGATGATACTGAGAAAGACGCCCTGGTGACAAACTGGTGTCTGTGAGATGACTTTTGAAATGACAATTTTAAACATGCCCATCTGGGTTATTATTCTGCCAAATTTCAGACTTCTGTCTTAAATAATAAAATGCCGCGGTCGTCCTAAAACTTCAGGATCAAAATCTCTAAAATACAGGGGGTTGCGTTTCTTTTTGACAGAGTTTAGATCGAAATTATGGTTAGTTTTGCAACAGAAAGGATTAACACCCAAGATGTTAGGTTGCATCAAATCCATCTATAGTTGTGTTAAATCTTGCGTTAAAGTCAATAATTCTTTTGTACAGTTGTTCGACTGTAATATTGGAGTTCGTCAAGGATGTGTCTTGAGTCCCTTCTTGTTCTCCATTTTTATAAACGATTTAGCTGATAGTATTGAATCCTGTGTTATCTGGGCATACAGTTACATCCAGAATTAACTCAGTTGTTTCTCCTTCTATTTGCTGATGATGTCACTCTATTCTCTGACACCATCTATGGGCTACAAAAACGTATTAATGCCCTTGAACAGCATTGCAAGGAATACAAGCTATATGTCAATTTAGATAAATCTAAAATTGTTGTGTTTAGAAATGGTAGCATCCTTACTAAGCACGAAAAATGGTATCTAGGAGGTAAATTAATTGAGTGTGTTTCTTCATATAGATATTTGGGAATAGTATTTTCACAAACATTGTCATGGCATAAACATTTTGAGAGCTCTATTTTGCAATCTAAAAAGGCTTTGTTCAGTATTTTGAAAAGTTTATTAAAATTCGAGCACATGAAATGTGATGTCTTCTTCAGAATTTTTGACACTAAAGTAATGCCTATTTTGCTTTATGGTGCGGAAGTATGGGGTCTAGACTGTGATTGTAATTCATCCATTGAAACAGTGCATACCCTAGCTTGTAAATACTTACTCTGTGTTAAACTATGTACCCCTAACCACGTTGTACATGGCGAATTCGGGAGATACCCTATGTATATTTTTGCGTACAAACGCTGTATTATGTATTGGTACAAACTGTTAAATATGCCTTCTATACGTTTCCCTCATTCTCTTCCCACAGAGGTTACTCCTGTCATATCTTCCTACGTAGGAAGAGTGGGAAGAGAATGCTTTTCCCTAAGAAATGTTACAATTTATTACTGTTAGATGCTTCAAATGGTAAAATTAACTGGACATCAAAATTAAAAAATCTATTGTATACAATGGGTTTTGGATACGTATGGGAAAATCAATTTATTCCTAATATAAACCTTTTTTATTTCTGAATTCATATCTAGAGCCCAAAACACATATTTACAGGAATGGCATTCCTCGTTGTCTAGTGGCTCAAAAACTTACCTATATTTTCAATTTAAATTTATTTTTGGTGTTGAGCCATATCTCCATTGCATAACTATCAAGAAATTTCATATTGCCTTAGCGAGGTTCAGGTGTAGTTCACACCAACTGAATATAGAAACTGGTAGATATATAAAGAAACCAAAAAACTCAAGATTGTGTGAAATGTGTTCCTGCAATTATGTAGAAAATGAGTACCACTTTTTACTGATTTGTACTGTCTATGATGATCTACGTAAACGTTTTATCCCTGTCGATGTTTTCACCCATCCAACCTTGTGCAAATTTAATCGACTGATGAGTAATGCTACTCCTCTGGTTTTAAGAAATCTTGCCATGTTCATCTTCTATGCTAACAATCGTCATCGCTACAGCTTGAAGGCTGCCAATGTATAATGTTGTACCATGGGCCGATTGCCTACATTTACACGAATAAAGACTATATATATCATTGCTGAAAAAAACCCCATCAAGTCTGGGTGACAGAAATCAGTGATTCATATTCATTCGTATTTCTTTCAGTTCTATACCTCCACTGTGAATACATAAATGTTTAGTTTTATTTTTTAATTGAGTAGTGTGACAGGTGCTCTCTACAATAAGCCAGGAATATCATTTATAGGGGTGGGCGATAATACCGGTTAACCAGTATATTGCAATGCGAACTTCACAATACAATATATTGTGGTACACTTTTCGCGAAACCGGTTGACCCGATATGATCGGCAATTTCCGTGACCAAGATCAGTAATTTTCGTGATGTAGTTCAAAATACGATTAGCATTTTCCTTTATATTATTATGCATTAATCGTTTTGAGAATTTAAGAATAGTTTATTGGTCATGTAATTGCATTTGCGTGACTTTTAAACCACATAAATGAATAAAAAATAGATTGGTACTGGCACTTGTTGTAGGGATAAACAATTTGGAAACAATTTCAATTTATCTCTTGTACAATCACAGCTGAGTCCTGACAGTGGCCAGTGGCATTATTTCAAAAGAAAGGAAACAGTAATTTCATTACCTTAAACCATGTGTTACACTTTCACAATATATTGCAATACATATTGCAATATGGCAACACATATCACGATATATCGCAATATGAATATTTTGGCAATACCCAACCCTTGTCATTTTGTAAACATATCAGTCTCTCCGGGTTAAGTTATAATACACCTTTATATCATGCAAGATTATGACCTGATAAAAATGTTCATCATATTAGCAGCTTAATGATGAAGCCCATGCCGACAATATCTTATTCTCATCTATTTTGTAATCTTTTGCTTAGTTTCTACATTCAAATTTCCTTTCCAAATTTGTGGGCTAGGAACTTTCAGGCATAGCTAGCCTGACCTGCCAACAAAATTTGGAAACTATATTGCACACTGCTTATGACAAGCACAGGTTTCCCAGTTTGTAATCTGTAGAGCGATATGTGTGCATGGGGCTGAACGCATACTAGTTGCAGGATATCGAGATAAGTGAAAGACTATGTCATGAAGATATATACTTTGCATTGGCTTCTGATGTATTTTTTCTTCCAAATGAATTATTTCTGAACATTTATTTTCATGGGTGAGGTGAGGTGAGGTGAAATTGGGTTTAACGTCGTGCTGGAGAATATTTCGCTCATATGACGATGTGCATGCGTGTGTATGTGTATGTGCGGCTGCTTGTACTAGCCCAGACTTAAGCTGGTTTTATACTGCTAGCCCACTTAGATACCATGCCGCAGTGAAGCATGAATAGCCCACTCAGACACATTATACTGACTTCGAGCCGAACAGTCCTTGTTTTACCCATTAATGCTAAGCGCCAGGCAGGGACCAACAAGTACCATATTTTAACGTCTTTTGGTATGACGCGGCCGGAAAGTAAAACACAAAATAAACACATAAACTACCAAATTAGGCTTCAGATATTATATATTTGAGGATGATCCAAGTATTCAAGACCCCAATTCAATGGAGTAGTGATTGAGTAAAAATCGAGTCGGCCACATGCAGGCTCATTATGCTCTTATGCTTACAAGTAGTAACTTGGAAGAAAGGATGGGTAACAAACAAAACATAGTCACGATGAATCTTGGATTCAAACTCCCAACAATAGCATCCTGTCACGCTAAAGGGACACAACTATGCAGGGTGAACAGATTATCTTAGAAAATTGTTGTTAAAGATCTAGTGGATAACCATGGTAAGTTATGTTTTACCCATCAGTGAGCAATGATCTTGCCGTATCTGTAGGACTGAGAATTTTGGATGAAGTAAACCAGTGGTTTGAATCCATGATCAATGGCAACACACAATGACACATCACCAAGGTTACACAGTGTAACATCTGATCCAAATGTCAGTCATCTTTTATGACAAGGATGGGTATTTAGATAAATACTGATTGAAGTCAAAGGATATTTCAACTTACAGGCGCTAGATTTACTTGGTCTGTCTTGAAGAACTCTTTCCATGGCTTGATATCTTGCCATTAAGTTGAGTAACGTTTCCTTTTCATTGGTTTCCTGAAATTTTCATTGTCTTAAAGTCTTTTGAGTGGCATTTAGAAGTTGGTGTGATGACCCAGTCAACTGAAATTAGGTCAAAATATCAAGGTCATTGTCCTTAAAGTCAAGATAATATGTCAGATAAAAAAATAAGACAATTACAGTTAGAATGTATCGCTGCCTGTCTTGAAATTTAAAGCTGTGAAATGTTTTTGAACAAGTTTGGAAAAAATCATTTATAATGTCCTTATTAAAATAATTGTTTTGTTTCTTTAGAAATTGTAAGAACAATTTATGTCTAGGGGCCAAATATTACTCAATTAGGTAAGTGTTAGTTTTGTGACAACTTGGCCTCATACCTCTAGATCTGGAACTTATACATTACCCTCTTGTCTCCCACTGTTCCTGAAGAAGACTGTTTGTGATGATCCATGGATACATTTGCTGGAAACTGTGATTTATCAGATTTCTTGGTCTGCAGTCCTTGGGTTGACTTTGAGGATGACCAAGGACCAGATTCCATTTTTGCAGGGTCACAAGGATGAGGGGCAAGATGTACACTCTCACTTGGTCCTCCCATCACATCCTTCTGACTCAACATAGGAGGGCAAAATTTAGTTAGCTTTTGCTTTCCATTTTTGGATCTTGCAAGTAATTGTTTGTCTTGTGAGCGTTTTCCTATTTCTGGACCATTATTTGGACTATTTGCTACTTGTACGGACATGCTTGAAGTTTCCTGATTTGGGTAAAGTATTTTCTCTGAAGTTTCATTTTTATGTAATAGTTCATCGGGAGAAGAGATATTTTGGTGTTCTGGGAGGGATTCCAGCAACCTTTCTGGACCGGATCCTGATGGACCTATTCCAGATGATGTACTGGACATTTGGGTGAACTCCACAATGAAGTCTAGCAGTTGGGTAGATAGCTCTTCCTGAGTCAGTGGAGATACTGGCTGTTGATGGGTAGACAGGTCGACCTGTGACAGCTGGGATAAGGGCTGTTGATGGGTAGACAGGTCGACCTGTGACAGCTGGGATAAGGGCTGTTGATGGGTAGACAGGTCGAACTCTGGTAGCTGGGATATTGGATGTTGATAGGTGGACAGATCCTCAATAGTCATCTTTGGCATTGGTTCTAGGTGAGTAGAGAGGTCATCCTCATTCTTTGTGTGTTGTTGGAAAGACAGTTCCTCCTGTGTCAGCTGAGATGCTGAGTGTTCATTGGTGTACATCTTCTCCTGAGTTGGCGGAGACACAAGCTGTTCGTGGGCAGGCAGATCCTTCAAAGTCATCTGAGACACTGGGAGTTGATGGATTGATGGAGGCTGCTTCCAAACAGCAGTTTCAGTTAGTATTTGACCCTGCAAGTTTTCATCAATTTGAGTCTTGTCAATTCCATGTTGGTGTCCCAGTGTGATCTGCTGCAAGTCTTCTGAGTCAGATTACTGAGAGGGATCGCTTCACCTGTTGATGGTGTTATTACTTTGGGAGGAACAAACATGACTCGTGTTTCTCTATTAATAACAGAATAATTGGATTCTGGATCATCAACATCACTCTCAATTCGTCGAGGTGATGGTTTCACACATTTCTCACTCAATAGTAAATCAGAAAGCTGAGAACTTGAAGCAGACGCAGAATCCATTTTTTCAGACACACTGATTTCCAAGCACTCATTTGAACTATGCTGTGTTGGTACAGAGTCACCTTTTCTATGAAAATCTCCTACAGGTGGAATTTTTGGTCCACGCTGTGGCAGAGTTACTTTGCTTCGAAAGATCTCATCCAATATCTGTGTGTAATTAACTTCTGGGGCTTTTCTTTGATGCTTTCTGTCAGTTCGTTCTTCCAGCTTTGAGAGTCCAGGAGATTTTGTTGGAACACTGAAGGAATGAACCTGTTCATCGGCATATGTAACATTTTCTGTATTGTCCTGACTGAATGGGTGATTTGACTTATCAGAAGTCAACAGAGCAAGGGAATTAACTCTGTGGTTATTATCTTCAGAGTGTGTGATTTGGAGTTGTGTCCCTTGGTTTTGAGAGCCTCCCCTTGACGGTGAGCAGTGATGTGGACATCACAGACTCATTATCAGACATCCAGTCATCTTGCTGAGCATCCCCACTCTGAAAAACATTAGCAGTGAGTAAGCATCTTACAATAGTGCATTTGGCTCAAAAGCGGACAGATGAATTGCAATCTAACTCAAAAACTAATAAACATATAATACTCAATGAAACACTGATCATAATCAAAACATCAGACCAACTCTGTGATTTGTTTGCAGAATTTATGTCCTAAAATTAAAAAAGTTGTTTAACAAACTATCATTAAAATATTGACACAGTTCACTATTTGTTACGAGGGAGGAGTGCCGAGAAAGGGACAGCCAGGTGTTAGAGAAGCACGTGCACAAGTACCGACAAAGTTATTGATTCATTAATCTGTGCTGTGCTGTCTCCAGCCTTTCTTGCACACCCGGCTGTCCCTTTCTCTGCACTCCTCCCTCGTAACAAATAGTGAACTGTGTCAATATCTGAATGATAGTTTGTTTAACAACTTTTTTATTTTTAGGACATAAATTCTGCAAAAACCTCACAGAGTTGGTCTGATGTTTTCATTATGATCAGTGTTTCATTGAGTATTTTATGTTTATTATATTAGTTTTCGAGTTACATTGCAATTCATCGGTCAGCTTTTGAGCCAAACGGACCATAGATACATGTTGGAAGAAGATACCTTGCAGGCACATGGCACTGTTTCAATATGAACATTTGGTCAGGTTACTAATTTGTTGGCAAATTATTGTTTCAACACTGACTTTGGACTTTTGAAAATAGGTCCAAATATAACAATTTTCAACCATTAAAAGTAATCTGTAATTCAACATTTCATATTATCATAAATTCACTATAACTTTTAAATAACATATGCATTGTTTCAAACAGATATATTATGCTGATATTTTAACATCACTTCAAATTAAAAACTAAAAAAAAACACAACACTTTTTCATGGTTGGAGCATGACACTGATTCAACATTGTTTTGGCTTCTGGGTATCAATTTAAAGGCCAAATTTAAAGATATTTTAAAATAAATCTAGAAAACAAAAACAATACAAGATTTGAACTTATATTTTGTAAAATATATGTGGAGGTTCAAAACACTGTATGAATTCCAACCCTAAGGGGGTGGTGGGGTAGCCTAGTGGTTAAAGCATTTGCTCGTCACCCGGGTTCGATTCCCCACATGGGTACAATATGTGAACCGCATTTCTGGTGTCCCTCGCCATGGTATTGCTGGAATATTGCTAAAAGCGGCGTAAAACCATACTCACTCCAACCCTGAGGCAAACAAATTTCTTAACTATATTGTGAGAGTATTGAAGAGTGGCAGTTTGCGGCAATTTTTACGAAGCAGTGAAAGACAATAGATACTTGTACACTTATTTGTTCCTTGCACTGACTGCATCAGAAAGTATTAATACACTAAACAAGCTTGTCATGTAACTGAGTAATATTTTGAAGTGCCACATCAAATTAAGCCTGAACAATACTGTCTTCCATCTATAAAGAACATCTGTTTCATGGATCACAGGAAGCGAATTCCTGCATCCTGTACTCATAAAAATTGACAATGGATGCAAATGAAATTTATTAGCGCATCCACAGGGACGAAGAAAAGTCTAAATACTTTTGTAAAAATTCCAACCAAGTAACAATACGTTATCACTGAGTTTGCTACTTGCTGGGTTATGGTATCATTTGCAATTTAATTACTGTAACAAATAATGTGTTGATCATGATACACAATACAATAATGGTATCAAAAATAATATTTAAGTTTCTGGGACCCCCATTTTGTTGTCCAGGACCCCTGAAAATTCTAATCATGAGTCCCAGGGACCCTCAAATGCAGGACTCAAGGTAAATCCCTGCATGCATGTAACATATAGTAATAACTTACCAAGTTTTGAGTTCTGTTTTGACTGGGAATAATTGGTGAGCAATCTCCTGCAGAGTAGGACATAACAGCATATCACATGAAGCATAGATGATGATGATGATGATGATGATGATGATAATGATGATTATTTGACATATTTGACTCAAGAATTGTGTACATGATTTTGTAATTTTTTATTCACATGGGAATAAAATTATTTTCAGTACTGTGCAAGAGGCCTGAAGAGTTTGTGCTGACTTCATTAAAGACAGGGTACAGGCTGTGCTGATCATTGAAAGGAGTGGTCAAAATGATTTTGTCTTGCTTTGATATAACAAAACTCTTTGTTTCATGATTTTAGAGATTTTGATGGACCATGGCAGGTGGTGAGTGTTGGAATTATCTACATTATCTTTTTCAACCACTTCATTGAAGTTAAGGTCAATTTGGTTTTGTACACAGATCAAGAAAATAGAACGCTTAATACTACATGGTGAAGATTTAATGATACACCTGGAATCAACTGGTACAGCAGTAAGCCTTAGGTTTCCCCTGGTCATGTAGGGCACTGATTAGATGAGAATAAATAGCCCCTCTCATTTATGTCTTTGACAATGTTTCTTCATGTAATGAAGTTAATAATAGTAAATGTTTTGTCAAATTTTTAAATTGTGCATTGTACCTTTAATTCAACATCAACTGTCTTCAAACACAAACAAGGAATCATTTTAGAATCTGCAAATATCAAATTAATTATACGACAAATTACCTGATAGTTTATTATTTGTCCCTTTTTTATGGATTATGCCCTACAGCTGTGATGGAATAACATACCCACTTTCTGTGACAGCTTGGAGTTTGGTTCATTCTGGTTTATACATATAATCAATGAATCTTACAACAATTATGGGAGGTAACCCAGTACAGGGCTGTGCTACCTATACTCTTTGCCTATCACAGCCACACTGTCACACATATACATACTGAGAACCAACTGGAAACCTGATAAGTAAAATTCCAAGGGACTCGCCAAAATTGTTTACTTATCAGGTATTATTTTTATCCAAACCTATATAAAATCTGCAAAAATGACAACCATATGCATGTATATGTATGTATATGTATCAATGAACCACTTATCAGGGCTGGCTTCCTAACTGGAGACTGACACGCGCCCCTCATGTCGGATTATGTGGTGATCGCTAATTTAGTTATCCAGTCTCTTTTGTTAAGTAATTTAATTCCAGGGACTGTGAGAATACGTTTAGTTAAGCGGTATTGTTTACTTATCCAAGTTTAGTTAACAGGACTCTAATAGTCATAATTAATGAAGAAATTTGCGGGACCAAGGAAAAGTGTTTACTTATCAGGTCTGTTTAGTTAAAGCCGGTCTTTACTTAGGCGGTTTCCACTGTAATAGTATTTGTTCAGCCTTCAGAACCTGCTTTCTCTGACTGAGCATGTCATAGGTCATACCTTGGTTGGTGGGGCTGTGGAAGCACTCTCTTTTCCTTGGTAGAGATTTCATCAATCTTAAAGATAAAAACAACACAAAGTAAGGTCACTTGTCTTTGGGAAACTATTGCCGGGACTCCCAAATAGCCCATCAGGAATATCAGAGGTAACAATCCACATCCTATATTTTTCTTTATTGGTTGTTTGAGGTCTCACTCTTTAATATTCCAGCCATATATAAGGGTGGTTGTTAATAATTGAGTCTGGACCACACAAACCTGTGACTGACATCATGAGCATTGATCAACACAAATGGGTCATCCTCACGTCTTCACTAGGATGGTCCAAGACAAGTATAGTAGAAATTAGCAATAGTAGAAATTAGCAATTTTAAAGGGTTTTGCTATGTTGTAAAACTGAGGCTAGTGGACCAGAAATAACAGTTAACTTTCAGAATATGTTTTTACCTTTCACCCAAATGGAATCCAGCATTACTTAAAGTCACCCCCCAGACAGAAGAGCCACCAATATTCATTAAGTCAATATGTGCAATAAGTTTACTTAAGGTATAATATATAAACTGTATTTTTTAAAGTTCTGATAAATGGGTGGCAAACATTTTCTGTGATGCTCCCTGCATGCTGACCCGGGCTATTCCATCAACTGATTTTGCATTTTCTTGCCACTGATTCTATCTCACACAAAGGGACCTGTTCATAATTTATAGCTAGGGGTGTGATGATGATTTTTATGGAGAGGCATGTACAATAGTAAGTGATCCCCCTCCCAGAATGTCATGTACAATACCAATGACCACCCCCTAGTACAAAATTGTATGTGTACAAAATTGATGATCCCCAAACCTCCCCAGAATATAATGGGTGACACCCCACCCACCTCAAATCACCATCAACCCCACTAGCCATACATTATGCACGGTCCCGAACAGCTTACCCTTTCAGACCTGCCCACGCTGACGGCGATGTGACATCATCTGTTCCATGCGTTGTGTCACTGATGACAGAGACGTCGTCGGCCATGTAGTCGTCGCACGGGTCCCTTGTAGTTTCAGAGTCCGTCATAGTCTATCACTAGAGAATCAGTGCTTAACGAATAATGATCTTCAGTTTCAGTTGCCCAGTTGTTAACTCCTGAGAGACAAACATCAAGATAAAGAACGTTCGTTCAACTTGAAAGTGTGGCAAGTGTGATCCGGGAATATGTTGTGTTGTTGTCTTGATTCCCTTCCAGACCTACGTCCTGTCTTCTGTAAAGGGACATAACTCTAAATTCTACACAGAACAGCATTACTCGGACCGTAAATGTTTCTCTCGGTATACTGAAGATATGGTTGATCGGTTCAGATCTGTACAGACTACTTGGTTAATTTACTCAATTGTTCACTATTGTAAATGGGAAACGGGTGGCCCAGTTGTCTGGGGCTCGCTGTTCGCGGTGCAGAGTTGCCTCCCTTGTGGCGAAGTCGCCTGAGGCTCGCTGTTCGCGGTGCAGAGTTGCCTCCCTTTGTAGTCCAGTCGTCTGGGGCTGTTCGCGGTGCAGAGTTGCCTCCCTTGGGTATGATCATCCCGGTGGTCCGTGGGTTTTAAAAAGTGGGATGGATCTAACCACGTACTTGGCTTGATTGTCCTTCTCCAAGTTTTGAGCAACCGGCCTCATTTGTATATCAAGATCTAGACTGATATGACCTATTAATAATTTGCCCGCTAAATCTCTTGCATTAGATTCAATATTATATTCGTGGATTTTTGCCATGGGCAAGTTCACAATATATGCATGTTACAGTTAGCGCAACAGGCCATTGTTACCCGTTGGAAAATGTAACTATATGGGCAAGCCTGTTAAACAGGATGCATTTTTAATCAGGATGCATTTTTAATCGTGTCGAATTGACAACTGTCTGTGTGTCCGTCTGTCCGTCCGTTCTTGTAGCTTTTGCATTTTCTTTTTAAGGCCAATGGGGCTTTACACGAACGATCCCAGCTACTGAGAAGAATTGCTATTGATCATAGTTCGAATTGAAGTGATATGTACTGGAATATTTTGACGTTTGATCCAGCTACTGCTTTTTCGACACCACCCACGACACGACATGGCCCACGAACTAAAACATCGCATGAATCATCTTAGCTATGATTTCTGTAAAGTTTAACATGACTACCACGACCTTTCTTCAGAAAGTTATGAAATTTTCACTGTAATTGGGCTTAACATTGCAATGTTATGAATTTTATAATCAACCGTCAAAGGTTATAGTTTCACCAAAGTGAAAATGCAGCCCCAGAGATTAAGGTAGGCGGAAAACCTATGTTATGCCATACCGCACAGTACTTAGTATAGCCTGCCACCACGTTTCGTATACGGTCGCCTTGTAAAACAATTTCGAGCAAGATATTGATAGGCCACGGTAGGATTGTCCAAGTAACGTTTCTCCAACATGTATGTTATGACACTGAAAAAACACGCGTACCCATGTATGTATGTATGTATGTGTGTGTGTGTGTGTGTGTGCGTGCGTGCATGCATGCGTGCGCGCGTTTTAAAGCAAACAGCAGGCGCAGTGGGGTAGCCTAGTGGTTAAGGCGTTCGCTCGTCACGCCGAAAACCATGGATAGATAGATAGCGAGACAGATAGATAATTTATTAGAGTCGCACCTCGTACATACAAAATATATAATAGAAAGTAATGAAAATGCGATAAAATATGTACAAGCCATTCCATAGGAATTACGAGAGACTAAAAGGCAAAATAGAACCACTTTTAAAAGAATACAAACGTGTAAAATAAATTACACTGACACCTCATGTTTGTACTTCCACTCTTCCAGAGACATCCTCGATAATCTCCAGGGTATACGTTACGATCACTCTCCACTATACCCTGGATGTATCCACGGCTTGGGGCGATGATTTAATAACCTCCCTTGACTGGCTCCGCATTATCACAGTAGCCAATCAGCTAAGCCGCCGTTACAACCGAGCTTGCCAGTGTCAACAAGGATAGCGGTCGCAGTCGCGAAGGTTTGTTCGCAGCGCCACTCAGATTTTTTTGGAAATAATAAAGACAAATTGACAGATCTGAAACTTTAAAAGAATATATAACAGAACTCCTTCTGGTTCTTTCAGAGTACCTCTGCATCAATTGTGTTCCCAACATTAAACGGTTAGATAATTTAAGAAGCGAAAGTGAGTTGTGATTGGTACGCTCAACTTCCCAGCGTAGGCACCTGACTGGATTAAAAGCCAGCCAAGGGAGGTAATAAAATCATCACCCCAAGCCGTGGATGCATCCAGGGTATAGTGGAGAGTGATCGTAACGTATATCCTGGAGATTATCGAGGATGTTCCAGAGATAAAAAATGTAAAAACTATTAAAACAAACACCATCTACGTCTGCGGAAAATATTATAACATGTTTTGGCACATGAAAGAAAACAACTCTGTAAGGTTAAAAAGCACTGAGAACGTCCCTGCACCTGGTAAAAGATTAAAACCGTTCTACAAAAAGGGTTCTTCTAAGATCATCATGAAAAGGGCAGTGTAAATATACATGATGCTCACTTTCCACAGTGACTCCATTCTGACAAATGGAACATGTTCGCTCATCTACTGGTAGTCCTTCGTATCGGCCAGTCTCAAGTCGTATTGGCTTTACCCCACGTCTAAACTTTGCCACAACACTTCTGAATATTCCGGGTATACTGTCTCTGACACAATGTATAATTTCGAGGTTTTTCTTGATGGTCTTGTATGTCCCCAGCTTTCCCGTATTCTTGTTTATTCTTTCAGTCCACTCCGACTTGTGTTTTCTAAACAGGGTGTCCTCAATAGTCCGTATAGCTGTCACTGAAAGGGGGTCCGATTCGTAATCGCATGAACATTCATTAAGTAATTTATACACTTTAAAATTCCAGTGTTTACAACTTGGAGATGCACGTTTCTCTGACCAATTAAAAGTCTTTTTGTTGAGGCGTGATTCGTCAATAGTCATATATCTACGCCACTGTCTAACACAATCTTCTCTGTTACACTGACGGGTACCCATCCCAGTTCACCGAGCACCGCGTCAGTTGGTGTGTATCTGCCCTCTCCCAGGTAGAACCTGCACGCCCTGTTCTGTACTGCAATAACACATGAGTACTCTTGAAGTCCCAAGACAGCTGCTCCGTAAGTGATAACAGGTGACACTAAGTGAGGTGAGGTGAAATTGGGTTTAACGTCGTACTTGAGAATATTTCGCTCATATGACGACGTGCATGCGTGTGTATGTGTATGTGCTGCTGCTTGTACTAGCCCAGACTTAAGCTGGTTTTATAGTGCTAGCCCACTGAGATACCACGCCGCAGTGAAGCATGAATACCCCACTCAGACACATTATACTGACTCCGAGCCAACCAGTCCTTGTTGTACCCATTAATGCCGAGCGCCAGACAGGGACCAACAAGTACCATATTTTAACGTCTTTTGGTATGACGCGGTCGGGGATCGAACCCGCGACCTTCCGCTCTCCGGGCGGACGCTCTAACCACTACACCACGGAGGCGGTCAACACTAAGTTATCGTAGAGTTTATGGAACACTGTGAATCTTACATCACCAAGGGACTTGCATTTAGCTATGACTATTTGTGGACTGTGCAACCTACTTCGCGGTAACACTTAAACCTCAGAACTCGTTCAGCGTAGGTCCGAGGTAACGGTACTGTCTTGTCCACGGTTTCTAACTGCATATCACCACATTTAAAACATTCCGTGTGAAGCTCATTTCTGGTGTCCCCCGCCATGATATTGCTGGAATATTGCTAAAAGCGGCGTGATACTAAACTCACAACTCACACAGCAAACAGTAACAAATGATATAAATAGACTCTGTAACAACTCTGTAATAGACTCTGTAACAACTGACAAGAGCATATGCATCAGCAATACTGATTTACATTTCAATTACATTTCAAAGAAAACTTGACAAACTTAAGAAATACGTTAAGGTGTCCACAAAAATATTCTTTAATAATTCCCCATCGCGATTATAATAATGTTGGTAGTTCCTAAATAACTATTTTAAAATCCCTTAACTGAATTTATCAGACTGTAAAATAACAAAGAATCTCTCATTTGATGTAAAATGATCAAATCACAGACAATTCACCCTTTACTCAATAGCTCTATTGATACCAAACTTGAATAATTTATTTGAAAATGGCGTCACAATTCTATAAAAGGTAATCCGTTAGAATGTTATTGATTAAAACGAGCATGGGTTAAATTCTATTACAAGTTTTAAAGATAACTTAGTACTACAAATTATTAATAAATGTGAAACGATTACAAAATTGTCCATAAAAAGCAATTATTGCACCACTCAGGGACTGTGACAGCCAGAAACGAAATGAGCTTTCGTCTTCTTTTTTTTTTATCTCAAACAGGGCAAGTGCGGCTTTCGGCGTAGTTTTATCCCTGGCATTTGGTGTGAGGTGAAGTGAGTTGAGAATATTTCGCTCATATGTAAGGATGCAGTCAAATGTAGTTATGTTTTTAGGTTTGGTTACGACTCTCCCAGTAGTTTTAAGTTCATATTTTGATTGTAATGGTGAAGAAATGACAATTGCAAAGTTTGAATTGTCTCAAAATTTCGACTTGACTGCAATACGAAAACATGTTGTGTGCTCGACGATTTGCATTAGTAAATGTAAACATCATGGTGTCATCAATACAATTGTCACCTGCAACGACACCAACCTAGGACACAACAGCAGCCAGGCATCACGAAAAACGCAAAAACAGGAAACAGCGGCAGCCACGCCTCACAAAAATACGGAGAAACAGGACAGAGCGGCAGCCACGCATCACGGAAAGATGCAGAAACAGGACAGAGCGACAGCCACGCTTCACGGAAAGATGCAGAAACAGGACACAGCGGCAGCCACGCATCACGGAAATACGGAGAAACAGGACAGAGCGGCAGCCACGCTTCACGGAAAGATGCAGAAACAGGACACAGCGGCAGCCACGCATCACGGAAATACGGAGAAACAGGACAGAGCGGCAGCCACGCTTCACGGAAAGATGCAGAAACAGGACAGAGCGGCAGCCACGCATCACGGAAAGATGCAGAAACAGAAAACAGCGGCAGCCATGCCTCACTGAAAGACAAAGATGTATTACGCAGCGATGGCCACGCATCACGGAGAGACGCACTGGCAGGTCGCCAGCACGCAGACCGCAAGGACGCGCACGTAG